AATGATAACACCTGCTGCAGCACGACGATGCTCAAACGCGTAGAGAGCTATATTGGACGTAAACCATAGGCCTACAGCAAGCAGTGTGGCTTTGATATCCGCCCACTCCCTTGGTATTCGCCGGATATTGTACCCTCGGACTTTTCCTTTTCCTACATCTGAAAAAGTTCTCAAAGGTAAGCGTTTCCATAGTGATGAAAATGTGCAGTGGAGGGAATGGTTTGAGGGTCATTCAAGGTCAAATTATGCTCAAGGACTTCAGAAGGCCTAACAAAGATGGCAAAAGAGAATCAATTTCCAGGGTGTTTACATAGAGAAGTGGCATTGTGCGTGTCCAATTTCAACTTGCAAGCATGCTTCTTTCATAGTTAGGTTATAGACTTAGTGGACGCGCCTCGTATTCTGAACACTCGCTAAACCCCTTTATTGCGGAGACGTTTCCATCAACGTTGTAAATATGTACACCCTACACACAAGATAAAATCTTCATTGAAGAAATATTCAAATTAAGCCGTAATATTGTTCCCTTATCTACTGAGAACAAATCACAGTACAAGTCAGCATTACGTTTCCTAAAAATGTCTCTTGAAAACGAGAAGAAAAATGGCAAAGAACCAGTTTGGGATAACAAAAGCGAGTACATGAGCTAGATATTATCCACGTCAAGGAAGTCATGAAGTCATGAAGAGGTTTTAGTACAAGTGCCCTTTCGACGAAAGACGTTTCACCTGACCTCTCAAAACAAGTACTCCGCACCCTCACTTTACCAAGACAAACAACGAAAGCGTTAAAACAAAATAAATGTGTGGAAAGACGATCTCTATTTTAACGGCGATAAAGTCTCAGTGAAAACAGTTGTGTGTCTAGTCTTTCAAAGTAAGCTCCACTGACGCATTGTTGCATACTCGCTGTTTCAACACCCCTGTGTTTTCTTAGCTCGTCTCTTCGGCTACATTGTGGGTTCTCTAATATGCCCTTACCTTTCTGACTCGTACTGAGCTGTTACCACTCACTGCCATGACGAGAACACTCACACGGTGTGGAGAGATTGTTGAACGACAAAGGGGCAAGGTCATGTGCTTGGAACTTGGCATGGTCATAATTTCCAGAGTAGCAATATTTCACAAAGTATTTAGAGAAAGAGAGAGGGGGGGGAGAGAGAGAGAGAGAGAGAGAGAGAGAGAGAGAGAGAGAGAGAGAGAGAGAGAGAGAGATGTTCCCGTTTGTTTTATTTAGGGTCTGACACACGTCACATCAGAGAGAACTTAGTAATTTCTAATTTAATGGCTTTATTATTCCGTTCCTATAATTTTTTTCTCTCCAAAATCACATCTGAACAAGGCGAATCGCGGTCTTCACACCAAGACGAGGAAGGTACGCCTATCGTTTGTTTGTCTTAGAGGCTTCGCGGAATCACGCCTTTCGTCTTATGAACAGCTTTCTGGCGAAAAGGAAGAAACCCCTCGACGCCTCAAAATGAGAGATGGGAATCCAATACGTCATTAGCACCAAACTGCAAGTGTGAAAGGTTGGAAGGGGAGAAACTCTATCTCAACAACGGTCATAGTTACGTCATCGACCCCGAAGAAGCCAACAGCATTTGCGTGCGCAGCTGGTAACGGAAATCACTGCTCACCGCACACACCGAACGTTGATGACGTCTGATGTCTGTCGAGAACAGCCGTTATGTTTTCAAATAAGAGAGTTCCAGGACATCGAGATATAAAAAAAGTATACATGTGCGTTATAGCGCACAAAACTGGAAACATCTGCCGACTTCTCATAGAGCTAAATAACCGGCTAATAATTTGTTGGAAATCTGTTGCTGTCGGGGTAGGCTACTGGGTAGATATTTGTTTATAGTGTGCGGACAAGTGAAAGTTACTTGATTTCTGTGTGATTTCAACTGGTAAATTTTAGCTGGATCTGTGCAAATTAGCGTAACGGTATTGATCTATTATATATATTATATATTAAAAAATATATCATTTGTTAACGCGCACGCTCTCCCTCAATTCCACCTCTAGTGAGGTTTTAAATACCATTATCTCGGAGATACCAAGAGAAGACCGTCAGTTCGAGAGCCTTGGACCTGAAACATAACTGTATGAAAACACACACACACACACACACACACACACACACACACACACACACACACACATGATAGCCTATATATTATCATAGCCAGGTCCCATGAGTCGTCTGTCCTTAGGCGACACCTGCAGCTAGATCTGGGATCTTTCTACACCTCAAAGGTGCGCATTCTCAATGCAGATCTTAGCTTCCAGCTGTACCATGTTATTATTGTTCATTTTAAAGAAACACTTCGCGAGGCTGATAGGGATCAGAGGCCAGCAATATGACAGTGGGCCCTCGATCCTCTAGAAGAACATGAAGATTTCATCGATGACATCTGGTTTAGTGACGAAGCCATTTTCACCTTTCAGGGTATCATCATCATCCAGTGCCAAATCTGCGACAGACTTCGGCGATCATGATTCTCCATTCATTCCTTTGCTCGGATGCTCTTTAAAAAAAACTACGTTTCCCTGATCTTTCCCTGTTACCCACTGTATTAGGTTCCCCAAGTAGGTTTCTCTGGGCCTACCCCTGCCACGCTTGCCCTCAATCTTGCCAGTGAGAGCTAGACGTCCCTTATGTCTATTCAGGTGTCCTAAAAACTGCATTTGTCGTTTCCTGGAGGTTTTTAACTTTGAGCGTCCCACGTGGGCTTCATCAAGCATTTATACATGTACCTCAATTGATTTCTTTTCCTTCCACTATACTCTTAGCAGTCTCCTAAGAAACCACATTTCTGTTGCTTCTATTTTATTTTCAGAGTATGCACTCGTGAAAAATGCTGCATACTGAGTATCTATCCACGCCCCCCCCCCCCTATTGAAAAATATTTTTTTTGGGTCTGTTTCCAGAGGCCTTTCCACGCTGAAAAGTGTACAGAGTGTTGATTTAACTTTTAAGCATGCCTGGTCTGGCAGGTCCTTTTTTTTTCTTCTAAAAAGATACAGATGGATATGTTGCAGCTGTAAACACTGGCCGGTATGTCGAGGTGCTTAACCAATTATGCTCATGAATCTGAGCAGACACCGACAGTGTTGGCCCGCCAAGACCAGAGGTTCATGTGGGATGTGGCCTCGGCAAACCCGCACGTTTCTGTCAAATCAGTGATATGGATGACTGACCATTTTGGAGATCATCAGCCGCGAAAACGAACTCTTGGCCCATGATTTCTCCAGACTTGAAACCTTTGATTTTTCTGGGGGACTACCTAATAATACTGTACATTTTAAAAAAAAATTTCATGTGTTTTATGCCCCGATCGACATAATTTAGGTCATTTAGGAGACGGGCTTCCGACCCTGCCTGTCAGAAGCAACATGGGCTTACAAGTATACAAAATCCCTACAGAAAGACAGAGATACTTGATAATAAAATTTATCCGCACTCGGGGATCGAACTGCTACACCACAGAGGCCAGTCAGTTGGCACTACCGGAAAACAGGATCTTTCACAAGCAGTTTGATGGTCTAGAGGTTAAGGTGTTCCCCTCTCATTCAATGGGTCGCAGGTTCGAATCCGGATAGCGACGGAAAATTTTCTTCAAAAAAATTGTCTCATTTCGCACCCTTTCCTGCTCCCTGGCTATGTTCTACCGTCTGCTTTCCTCTCCACTTTGTGCTCCCACCCCTCACCTCCTTTGCCCCCTCATCTGGGCTCCTGACTCTTTCTTCAACCTTTCTACCGCTTCTCTTTGGCTCCTTCTTACTGTCTTTCAGCTACACCCCTGATCTTCTAGTAGGAAAGATCTACACTTAGCCTTCTCGCTCGGATAAGGGCGAAAAATCTAGGAGGTCCCGTGTGCAAGTTGCGCACGTTAAAGATCACTTGGTGGTCCAAAATTGTTAAGAGTATGCTCCGGCCGCCACCAGGGCAAAATTCAAAATTTCGTTCCAACTGAAAATGTTTAATTTATGCAGTTGTGAGCACTGTTAAACACTTACCAAAAACAAAAACAACAAAAACAACAAAAAATGAGATTTTGAAACAGTGTATGGTGAAGTGAGGAACATTCCGCGGCAAAAGTATGGCAGCCATTAGATATTTCATATATCTTGAGCACAAAGGAAGACAAAATATTATATTGTAGAGCATTTTTTCTCGGATTTCCAGAATGAAATTCTTAGGTCTTTACTCTGTAGGCCAAATGAAGCATTGTTCGAATGTCACAGGGGCGGAAAATGAATGGGTAAAGAGAAAAGGATACAAAATCAAAGCAAACTTCTGTCTTCACTTTCCTCACCAGGATCAAGGCTTGCATTGGAAAAAAACATTTGGAAACCAGAAGTAGAGAATATGACTTTAGAACCTGCCTGCTAATTTCTCATTATATCATTTTATACCTGATAAAGGGCAGAGGTCACTGTGTAGTAACTTTAAGTAAAATCTCTTGCTTTACCCCCCCCCCCCCCCCCACCCCCTCCTCATCTTCACTCATTCATTCATCCTGTCATTCGTATACATGTATGCGTACATAATATAGATCTAACAAAACAATCTTGAGGGGCAAAAGCTACCACCGTGATACAAAACTATTGCCTTATCCTCAGAGGAAATAGAAACGAAAGATGGGACCAGAAAAGTCCATTCCATTTTGCACAACTGGTGTCTATTTTCAGCGTGACTTGCAAAGATAATTTAATGTTAATACATGTAATATGCTAACAAAGATTCTTTGATGCTATGACACTTCATGATGCACGGGAGGTAAAAAAGAAAATAAACTGAAATAATGTGTACTGTGGTAGCTTCCCTTGCAATAATGGCTCTTATGTTAAAGGAGTTGTATTTTGTATTTTGTTTTGGTATCGTTACAGTTAGCAGAGGGCAGAGGGCGATCTTTGAAAAATTCCAAAGATCCCATATTTCTCTAGCGCTGGTTCTTTGACGATACCTTGCAGAATCGATATTGATATTCTTCATTAAGACGTGCGACTACAATATTATTCCCTATCGAAAGTTGAGCAAAATCAGATGTTAATTTTTTCATGGGCGATAGTACAGATCGTTTCCAGTCAATAATGCATGGTAACGACACACCTCCTCTTTTTATTTTACACTTTACAGGAAAAGATCATTCGTTTATGTTCCAAGTTTCGATTAGACTCTAGGCCTAATGTATCATCACGGTTTATACTCTTATAATAGAGGAAGCTTACCAGCCACAAAATTGTGGCTACCGCTGTTTTGCCGTTGTCTCGTGATCCCCAGTAACAAACTAGATCTAGATCTAGACTCTAGAATCTTCTAGGCTAGATATCTAGATTCTAGATCTAGTCTATCTAGATCTAGATCTAGATATTCTAGACACTAGATGTAGATCTAGATCTAGATAATTTGGATCTAGGAAAGGACTTCCGTATCGAGCGACCACCCCCAACAAACACAGTAAAAGAGACCTAGATTCTAGATCTAGATCTAGATCTAGATCTAACCCAAATCCTCTAACCTGCACCTCTATTCTACTCTGTCTCATACTATAGTTGTCGCTCGTTTCGGAAGTCCTCCCGGATCTAGAACCCCCCAAAAAGTAACGAAGTGACTATTTCTCCGAATGCCCAAGAAAATAAACTTGACCTCTCAAGATTTTGGGGTATTTTTTTGCGAGAATTCGGCATCATCTTTCGTTTTGCCATTGCGGCGAAGCAACTATTTCTCCGAACGCTCGGGATAATAAACTTGGGCTGGATTGTACTTTACCGGACCACCCGTCTCGGTCCGTGATTACTACGCACACCTAGCCTAACTACACTCTCATAGTCATAGTACTCTGCGTGCGGACAAAAGGTAGTTCCGCGGGCGACTTTGCGCACGCACAGCGCAAGCCAGCGGCAACTGGCCAGGCGAGGTGAGCGAGAGTTGGTGGTTGAGAGTGGGCAGGGGATTTAACTTTGGTGAACCACCGTGTATCATACCAACAGTGGGGAGGGGGAGGGGGGTTCAGGGGGGCTTGCCCCCCTGGAAACTATAATAAAGAAAACACACAAAAATACGAAACAATAACATGAGCGGACAGTTGTGTTTACATATCAATGTAACAACAGTGGGGGGAGGGGGGGTTTCAGGGGGGCTAGCCCCCCTGGCAACAATAATTTAAAGACACTGACACACACATATTATAAACAATAACATGAGCGGACAATCAGGGTAGATACTCGCCAAGTCGCGAGCAGGGCCGAGGGGGTTGCAACTATGCAAATGAGCTCTCGTGTGCATCTTTAGCCCTCCATTGTACTTTGCCGGACCAGGAGTAGGCCTAGGCCACCCAGCAGAGTTGCGAGCAAATAAGAATAGTGGACCACGTGATAAGATTGACCAATTAGCCTCAAGATGTCAGGGTCATGGGTCAAAGGGCACGGTGGCACGGTCGTGATGACTGAAAAACCCGGTAAGAGACGTCAGTCGATTGCTGGCAGTTGAAGAGTGAGGATGTAGAAAACTGAGTAGGAGAGTGAGTAGGAGAGCTCGGAAACGAAGAATAGCGGGCCACTAGGCACCAGGGGCGCCATAGCGAAAGTAGTTCCGACCGGTGGTCTGGTAAAGTACAATCTTACCTAAACTTGAACTCTGTTTTTCCGAAAGGTTTCCGTTTTTGAGTTTTGTTGGTTAATTATTGTGAGAGTTCGGCGTCATCTTTCTTATTTCATTCCGCGAAGACTGGGAAGAAGCTGCTTTTTTTTTTTGCATCAAATTCAATTTCTAGAGCTAGATATTTTTAGTTGGCTGAATATTCAAATACTTCATTTGTAGTTGGGGCAACGTTCCAGGGACTATACTTCATTTGAAAATGCCTTCAAAAGGTACTGCGAGAAAACAAGACTGATCGACTTTGGCAGTCTATTTTGCATTAGACATCCCTTTAAAGCAAAAATCGCAACAACAAAAATCCCTCCACGCCCCCCCCCCTACCCCCATTAACACCTTACACGCACACACACTCACACACACACACACACACTCACATACACACACACCCACACTCACACGGCACACATGCACACTCACACCATACCCATACACACACAAACACACACGCACACACACACACTCGGGCCACTCCATTCGCAAAATACCAAAAATACTTGAGAACAGAAACTGTTCGGAGAAATAGAGTCCAAGTTTATTTTCCCGAACTTTCGGAGAAATAGAGCCTGTATTAAAAGGATCTTCTAGTATGGACATGGTCTGAAGAATAGTCCGAATTTTTTTGGCGAAGTGACCATTTCTCCGAACGCTACTGTTGACTAAATCTCGCCGTGTTTGTTTGTTTTTTTGTATCAATTTGTGTTATCTTTTATTAATAAACAATGTCAGCAATTCTCGTTCCCTAAATTTACCTTCTCCTCAAAGCTGTATACACACACACACACACACACACTCACACACACACACACACACACACACACACACACACACACACACACACACACACACACACACACACTCAATGCACTGACACGCACTCTCACCCACCACACCTAATAAGTCAGAGCTCTAAGGGTTAAAGGATTATGTGATGGGTCCGAATACAGATGACCAGGATTTTATGAGGAATGTTCTCAAAGCCAAACCTTTATTGTAATGAGCATCATTGAGGCTCAGCCTTCAGACTTTTCATATATATATATATGGTGATTAGTATAGTGGACTGAGCTGCAGTAAATAAACTCTTTTGTCCCAGTGGGGAATTTAGTACATGAATCTCTGAAAGACACTTCAGACAGCTTGGTGCCTGTCAGTGCAGACACCTGAAGCCTCCCTCCATCACCACTCCTGTGAGTGTGATGATCTCTTTGTAGTGAATGATTCCAGTTCCTTTCAAAGACATTTATAAAGAAGTCTACGTCAAAAAAGTAAAAAAGTATTGGATCGTGTCTTGCTTCAGAAGCACTGAGCAAAAGGACTTGCTGATTAGAAAGCAGCACACTTGATGAACATACCAGCATACTGACGAAGATTGAGAAGTGTCTGAACAAATTGTGAAAAGTGTTTCTTGGAATCTAGAAATAAAAAAAAGAGGGATTGGTGACTGTTGAACATCCTGACTTCTGATGCTCAATCTAACTCAGGAATTGCTTTGGAGGACATATATATACCCTGGATGAAGAATGTAGGGTACTGGTACAGTGAACAATTTTTATTTTCCCTTGGACGAAAACAAAAAATGTAGAGGGAGATTGTGTTGCCTGGTGCAAGTAACCAATCAGTGAGACCTTTTTTCTTCTGTAGGTTATGCACATAGAACAAGAGAAACGATGTCAGATGATCAAATTTTCATCACGATCCCACTAATGGTACTCCACAATGCCAAAGGCAAACTTTTATCTAACTTAACCACATTTTATACTGTTTCTTTTTTGGGCTCATTTATAATACATTGTAAAATTATATACTGATTTTTAAAAAACAGCTTAATTTTGTAAGTTTAAAGTATCTGCAAGAGGAATAAATAGTGTCAAGGAACACAAGTGAGTGTGTCAGTCACAAGCTGGTCGTTTAATTTTTTTAAAAGTAGTTGATAGATGCTCAGTCACAACTCAAGTAGGCTTCATACTTACTTCTAAACTTTTCTTTAAAAGGAAAAGTGAAAGTTTCAGACATTTACTGTACCAAATTTCTTAATTACTTATCATATTAAATGACAAAACAGAATGAATTAATAAACATGGGGCTGTTTTCTTCAGTCTGACTTTTTTTCGTACATATCATTCTTTGATCAGCTTAATATTAAAATTTTAATTGTAAGTTAATTGTTTCTGATTACCACAGTGAAAATATGATGCAAGAAAAACTAACAAAACTTGAGGCTCATTATAGATCCTTATTAGGCCTTACCCACTCATAGTTTTGAAATCTGAACACATAAATCTATAATCTGTTTGGTCCCATCCTGAACAATTGTGATTGTATGAATACATTGTATAAGGTTTTGACAAGCTTGACAACCAGAGGACAAAGTTGTACTTAGTGTAAGCGTCAAGAGTGCTCCTGATAGTGATCATGTTGATAAGACAGATATATGTGTAACTTACTACCCAACAAGTCTACTAGTTTATCATTTTCCAAAGGTATTGAGTTTTAATCAAGTAATATTAATATTTTATCCTTTAATTTCCAATGATGACCAATGCATCTGCAGAGGAGAATATTTCTTAAAGAGAAATACAAGTAATGGGGATAAAGATGATCTGTGGCTTCTGCTATGGTGAATGAAACCAATTCTGGCAGAGAAGAGTTTGCCACATTTTTGTTGAACCTACAACAATATTATTTTGTGTAGGTTAGTCTTTTTATCTCTGAGCTAGCACATCATAGTCAAATAACTAAAGAGATTTATTTCTTAGAGATATGTTTTCAAGATAGAACCCTCTAGCTCTCAGTTCCCAACATGTGGTCATTGACACCAGTGGCCATGTAGGCCAAAGGTCAAATTCTTCCTATCATGAGATTCAATAATAGGTAGTATGCCAATATCTCTTTGAGACGGTCTTGATATAAGATCATTGAAGTGACTTTGGGAAAGACATAAAGACACCTGGATGAAATATTTCAGAGAGCTTCACTGCCTGGCCCAAAGTTAAAGTGCGTAGAAAAAGATAAAAGTTAGTAAGATCACTGGTAAGAAAATTAAAAACCTTTCTAGGGCAATTATGATGAATTATAAAATGACAGCATGCTTATTGGGAGTGAAAGTTAGTAGATTCTGCTTTTCATGTATAACTTTGGTTCTCCACTTGTTATCATGAAGAATGATAAGTTTTTCTAAGCAACTTATGGATTGTGTGTGGCAGTAAAACTTTTTGGTGGCTACCATTCGTTTGTTTTTAAAATCTGGTCATTATAGATACAATACTTCTTTTAATATATGACTTTGGGGTTATGATTTCAATGATGTTGCTATCCTTTATGTATAATGCTTGTCATATACATCTTTCCCCTGGAGTCTTTGAAATTAGTGTCTGTAATATCAGACACTGGTTTTCCTGCTCTCCTCAGTAATAATAGAAGCTATAATTTTTAAAAGATATTGTGTCACCAGTTTGCTCCTTTTCCCTTATCTTTGTATTTACTTTTTTGCTTGACATTTTTTTAAAGAACAAAAATGTAATTTTTGCCCAAAATTGTGTACCCGCTATGTTCATATGTGTCACGACATGGTGGAATCAGGCGCTCGTCAATTTTTGGTCATGTAGAGTTATTGGTATTATCTGAAAGCTTATTTATTTGCTTTGCTTTTAATGAAAAAAAATACCCATCCATCTTTAATAGAAGTCAAGATATTTGCAATTGAAGAGTGTGAGGTTGCCTGGTTTCAATTATGAAATTTGCGAGACAATGGTTGTTAAAGTTTGGAAATTCCAACTGCCAAACAGTCCTTGAAAAATAAAAAATGACATGATTTGTGCCTTTAGTCGACGTTTTTTGTAATATTCACATGGAAATGTGTTTTTAAATCGACTTAAAAGAAGTTGGAACAAAAAAGGAAAATTTGATGAAATTGACAGGAAAATGCTTGTTTCTCAGATTGATTTATTTTGACAAGCGCCTGATTTCACCTCGATGCCTCACATATATTCTTTATTTTTTTATCTTCCGAGTTGTTTTTCATATCGTAGTTTTTGTTATGTGCTAACCTTTGTAAGGTGTGCTGAGTGACACTTATTCACTATCAGTGTCACTATCAGCATGAGAAGGCACTTGTTGCTGCAGTCAAGTGATGTACATGTAGCAAAAGAATGCTTCAGGCCTACTGTTTACTGGTTTCAGTATGGATAAAAACTCAGGAACTATCTACTTTGTTAAGTTCTATTCAAGAATGGATCGTGTTGCAGATAAACACTAACTTATTTCAAAATTTGAGTGGTGCCTTAAAAACTTATTTTTGTTGATTTTACATTTTAAAGGACATAGCGGACATATTATAATGTCCGATCATAGGTAAGCAAAGGAAAAGTTGTTCAATGTTTTAACGATCATGCACATATCAGAAACTCAACTTTCCACGTTTCATAATATGATGCATGTTGTTGCCCACCTTTCTAACTTTTAGATAAGTAAAACAGTTGAAAAATCTACATTAACATCAAAGTTGCACTTTTTTTTGTACACTACAACTGCAAATAAGTGCATCTTCAATTGTTGTGGCAGAATGCACGAGCTCAGAAAGATGATTGTGTCTTGACTGTGTGTTTTCCCCAGCCGGTGACAGTTTGTACACTAGAATGGCCTCTCAGCCTCTGTACAAAGAAAACCCTGTAGATCCTGACCTGGAGCACAAGGCGAAAAAAGGTTTGACATTTTCCCTCTTGAAATCATCTTTTGTAGATCTTTCTGAATGAAAAATCATTTGCATGTTTATGAAGACCAATATATAAATACGGGTAAAGTTCTCTTTTTTCTTTTTTTTTTCAGCTATTTAGGATTGAGCCGTCGTCTGAGCCTTTGAACTTTCTTTTTTACATTCCTGGGTATTTGAGATCATATGTTTGTGTTAATTCTTTTTCAAATAATTTACCACCATGACTAGCATATTGAAGATCTTTTGTACTAATTAATTTTTTGTAATCACAAAAGTGCCTCTGACAAATGCACTTATTTTCAAGCACAGCTTCCTGTGAGACCAGTGACCTGAAAACTTTCTTTGCAGAAAGTTTTTTCACAACCTGTCCTGACTGTTTGTAGGCCTATCTTATCCACATTCTCCAAATTCTCGCTGAAGAGATGTGAACACATTCTTTTTGTTGTTGTTTTTTGTTTGGCACAAGAGTAGGCTGGCCGTTAAAGTGTTCATACAGTTTTGTTTTTGTTTTTTTTCTCAGTCAAACCAAGCAATTCAGTGTCTTTCTTTCTTCTTGTATTTTCAGTATCCGACAAATTCTCTGAGAATGTGAACGTCATAGCGAATGAGCCTTCACTGGCGTTTTACAGAATCCAGGAGCATGTCCGGAAAACTCTCCCCCAGTTGGTGGATCAGAAGGTGAGGAGTCCTGAGACGAATAAATGTCTACAATGACATCAAATAGAATTGAAATTCTGAGTCCGATTATTTTGTAGTATGCCACTGGTACTTTCTACTTCTTTTCTTTTTTTGAATGTGATTTTACGTTGGTGAGTAATGGTTCAAAATGTCGGAGGAATTCAAGGCCCCAAGATCTGGAATGCTTTACCAAATACTTTAAGAGAGATCAAATCTGTTGATTCATTCAAATGTCCGCTAAAGTCGTTTCTGTTTTTAAATTAATAAGATGGATATTTGGAATAATTTTCTTAGTCAGAACACAACGTTTTATATTTTATGTTACTGTTGTACGTTGTACTGTATTCATTGTAAAGAGTTCAGAGCCTGTGTACTTTGATCGGGATTGAACGCTATATAAATGTCATTTATTATTATTATTATTCATTAGTTATGTATCATTACATTTTTATATCAACTGATACGAGGACTAATTGAAAATAGGTGTTGCTGTACTCTGCTGACCACTTGGTCTTTTATGAGCTCCACTGTTTCTTTACTTTGGTGTACACATCTTTGATGTTGGTGGTTGGTTGCTGCTCTGGTGTGATTTGCTCCTTCTTTCCTATCAGACATGTATCATCCTTATTTCTCTTCCTTCATTTTATTTTGTATGATGCTTTCTAGTAACACCTCTAATCTTCAGCACTGAAATGACCTATTAGTGTTGCAAGTGTCGTAAAATTCTTACTTAAAAAAAACAACAACCCAAAACTTTCGTCCTTTGCAAGCTGTTTTGAATGTGTCCTTTTTTTTGTTGTTTCCTTCTTGTAGCACGAGGTGGAAGACATTCAGGCCAAAGTACAAGGGGCTTGTTTTGATGCTGAGTATGCCACAAAGTAAGTCTTCGTTGAGGTTTGTTTTCACTCAAAAGACATATTGGAATAGGTTGGGTTTTTTTTTTAATGTAGCTGTTTTATGTCCCCATCATCACAACTTAAATAGTTTAGGAGACAGGCTTCAACCCTGACTGAAAGTGATGCAGTATCCCAATAGAAAGACTGAGATACTTGATGTAAAATCCTAATGTTGGAGAGTGCTTCTGGTACTTCCTGCTTCTTTTCTCTTTTTGAATGAGATTTTACTTTAGTGAGTAATGGCGCAAATGAAGGTAAAATTGTTCGTTAGTTATTAATCTTTTCATATTATTCTATTGTGCACTTTGGAAAGTTGCAACATAATATAGTGTTAATGTAAATAATAGTCTTAATGGAAATATAGTAACAGATGAATCTAGAAAAGTTTGCATGTATTATTTTTCCTCTCTTTTCAGTGCTGTCAAGGCAATGCAGAATAGTGCTATACATTTCCAGAATATTCAAGATCTCTTAAAAAATGCGATGTTCATGAAGCAGCAGATATCGTATGAAGATGCCAGAAGGTAACTCTTTTCTCGGGACAATCGTTTTGTTTGTAAGAGAATGTGTAGTCAGCAAGGATTTAGTATTGCTGTAACTTTTACTGCATTAAGTGATTTCGTTATGTTCTTGGGAAAAGTAATTTATACAAATATTCCTCACTTCACTCAGGTGGGAATGGGTACCTAGAATCTACCGGGCCAGAGACAGTGAAAGGTCTTGTCATTATGTTAATGTTTTGACACTTGTAAAGTAAAAGTGAAGTAAGTAAAATGGCAGCTTGCATTAAATGATTGTATGTTTCTATGTCAGTTGAGATTGTTTCAGAATGCCATTAGATGTGCAGAAATTAAATGTTTGCTTAAAGTGAAATTTACAGCTCCCCTGGATTTTCTTTGGTTTTGGAGAGTTTTCAGTTTAGAGAGAGTGCTTGAATAGCAAACAAAAATTTGTTAATTAGGAATTCCATTTTCTTTTAGTTTACCACTTTTTTTGGACTGACTATGCTAAATTTTAATGGACACAACTGTAGTTGCACACTAGATTCTCCAGTTCGAAATGGAATGGGGGTGTCTGTATTGTATTAACCTTTAACAGTCGTGTTTTGTTCCGGTTTTTTTTTGCTGCCCAGACGGCAAGGACGAGCCAGCCCCTCTGTGGGAGGTCGGGGAGAAGAGAGTGAAAAGAACGAGGCCAGTGGGGCGGCGGCTGAGGGCGGTCAGGGCATGGAAGGCGGTCAGAGGAAAATTGGACAAGAGCAGGATGAGTATGTACTTTAGGACGTTTCAGGAAAATGTTGGGGGTTTTTTCTTTTTCTTTTTGAGTTGGTTTAATGTGATCGCGTTTTTGTTAATGAATGTTGTGAGTCCGTCATTTTACTCTGTTTCTAAAGGGGAAAAGCTGAAACTATTTTTTTGTAATCTAATTTCTTTCTTTGAGGGTTCAGCTATTTTGAGATTGTACAAATTATTCAAAACTGGTAGTATTTTTTGTTTGTGTCGTTTTAGTTCTTTTTTGTATTGCTATTCAGATTTTGTGTTCATAGTTCATAGCTGCAAGTTGTTTTGTCAAAAACTGGAAGAGAGGGTAGGAATAGTTTTTCTGTTTAGAATAAAAACATAGCACTGTCTTATGTAACTATAAAACTTATCTCCAGAAAGAAAACATATCAAAACAGACCTTGGGTATGCTCTTTAGTATTGTTTTCAAAACATTTTATCAATATTTGGGCCTTGTCATCTTAATGATTTATGTTTGTCTTCGTTTTCACATTTTGTCTCATTTGACCAATTCAGTTGAAATCCTTATATGCCACAGGCCAGTCATGTCATGAACTCACGTGTTGTTCTCAGGGAGAAAAAGTCGGAAACATGCCTTTCTCCTTTCAGAGAACTCTGGGTTCATAATGTCTCATTTTACATTCTGTCTTTGAGCTTTGTCCATCTAATTTCACCATCTCTGTTTTATTTAGTTGGAATAACCGTGTTATTTTATAATGTCTTTACGCTAGTGGCTGTAGAGCTCTTGATCGGGCTGGGGAGAGGGATGTCAAAGGAAACTAGCTGTCTCATGTTGACAATATTCCCTTCCCATAAAATGTCTATTTTGTTAAGGGCACTAATTATGTTTGACATCTGCGCACCTCATTTGATGTAGTCTGTAGAAATCCTTATTTGATGATCACAGGACTTCAGTTTGAGATCTCATCCTTTTCTCATGAAAAGAGCACATCATCACTATTCCAACATTCCTTCATGACACTTCTCCCATCTTTCAGTGTACTCTCAGCAGTATGTTCATGCGTCTCCTTTGACTAATTAATTATTCTGTATAAATCCTCACTTGATGATCTCAGGACTTCAGTTTGAGATCTCATCCTCATCATATCTAAAAGTATATATATCTACACTATACTTTCAGTGTTCCTTTATCATACTTGTTCTGTTTTTCAGTAATGTACTCTCAGCAATCTATTCATGAGTCTCATTTGACTTATTTTGTATAAATCCTCATAAAACAATCCTGGGACTTCAGTTTGAGATTTCGTCCTTCATCTCATGGAAATAGCTCGCACATTTTCCCTTCACATCCAGTGTTCCTTTACCACACTTCTTCTGTCTTCCAGTAACATCCTTTCAGCAGTCTGTCCGTGCAGTCCGAAAAAGTCTAAGGTTGTACCGCTGTTTGTTATATATCTCATGTCATATCCGCTGTTGGTGTTGATCACTGCCGTGTGCTCTGTGTTGCTGGAGGCCACAGAACTAGGGAAAGGACAGTGGGTGCAATGATGAGGTGATCTACTTGATTACTGTCCGGGTATTGAAATGTGCGTTGGATTACTGTAAAGGTGTTGAAATGCGCGTAGGATTATTGTCGGGGTATTGAAATGTGTGTAGGATTACTGTCGGGGTATTGAAATGTGCGTTGGATTACTGTCAGGGTATTGAAATTTGCGTAGGATTACTGTCGGGGTATTGAAATGTAAGTAAGTTGGATTTCTTTCGGGGTATTGAAATGTGTGTTGGATTACTGTCAGGGTATTGAAATTTGCGTAGGATTACTGTCAGGGTACATTGAATTGTGCATTGCATTACTGTCAGGGTATATTGAAAAGTGCGTAGGATTACTGTTAGGGTATGAATAGTGCGATGGATTATTGTCAGGGTATTGAGTAGTGCGTAGGATTACTATCAGGGTATATTGAATAGTGCATAGGATTACTGTCAGCATATTGAATAGTGCGTAGGACAGCTGTCAGGATTACTGTCAGGGTATATTGAATAGTGCGTATGGTGACTGTCTGGATTACTGTCAGGTATGGAATAGTGCGTAGAATTACTGTCGCGATATTGTAATGTGCGTAGGTTATTTTCAAGGAAAGATTAAAGCATGAGTTGTCTCCTCAGTGCTGAGTGCTGCCTTGGTGAACTCCCCTCCCATTCTGGGCTGATTTATTATGTAATTGATCTACTCATGAAAGTTATCAAAAAACAAACTACAATAGACTTGAAGAGGATTGTAGTGATACTGGCACAGTTGTAATCATAATCGAAGAGTTTACTGTGGATGGAAATTTGAAATAGGACCACTGTTCTTCTGTTTAATTTAGTTTTAATAAGAGTTTTACGGCACTTGCAACACAATAAGGTCCTGTAATATAAGTGCCAAAGATTAGAGGTGTTACAAGAGAGTAACAAACATAAAAAGAAGGAGGAGAGATAAAGACGACAGTTGTTTGATAGGAAAGAAGGAGCAAACCACACCAGAGCACCCGCCAACCCCCCACCTGTTCTTCTGTTACAACAGAATTAATCGGTCTGATTTTATTTTAAAAGCTTTGGGAAAAGGTAGACATTGCTCTCCTCACGAAAAAAAAAAAGGAGTCACATGCGAAGTAATGCATGTAACTTATTAACACACTTTCGTCTTTTCCATTTTCTTTTAGTGCAGTTGGAGATCACAGTTTTTCATTGGTTTATTTGTTATGGACAGTTTTGTAGGTTGTCCTGAACTGCTGAAGTGGCCACGCTGCCTTTTGGTACACTAACAAAAAGTGTTCTTATCTTAAAGTATTTGGGACTCTTTTTCTATTATCTAATTTTAGTGAAATGTTATACAGACTGCTCAGTGTAAGTCTTTGTCACAATATGTATTTTTTCAAAAATAGCATATGGTGGGGTCTTACTCTAAGTATTAGTGATAGATCTATAGATAATTAGATAGATAGACAGACAGATAGATAGAGAGAGAGAAGGAAAAAGAGAAAGACAGAGAGGTGAAGAGTGCGTTTGCGTGTATTGATTTACCTCACCGTAGGAAATATATTTCTCTAGTAGTAGACACAAATATGGTTGATTTGAAAGCGGAAGCTGTGAGCAGGTGATATATATCTTTGTGACAACAAGATAATATAGGATTTTTGAGAGCATCTGAGGCAAGAAAAAATTGGAGAACCATGACTGCCGGTGTCTGTATCAGTATCAGATCTGACATTTACTGATGAAATTTTGTTAGCATGGCACCTTCTGTACCTCTCCCTCCTCTGTGGCGGTCGCTGAGAGAGAGAAAGCTGCCGTGTGCCGGTGTTGCATGGCCTCGCAGCTGTTTCCACCTCCTCTTTCTTTCTGCCCTTATGATCAGTCGAGGTCTGCCGCTACTTTCAGTTTGCAGGTTGCACTTAATAATTTTTGCAGCACTTAATAATTTTTTTGCAGCATACAGAGGCCAATTGAGTGCGTGTGTGTGTTTTTTAAAAAGATTTTTTTGTGTTTGTGAATTGTATAAATATATATACAGTCGAACTTGCTTTAGTAGCCACCTTTATAAGATATCACCTGTACAAATGGCCACTTCTCAGTTCCCCTTTTGTTTTTCTTCTTCTAATATTATTCTGACACTGTGTAAGACATCCTTGCATCTAACACGGCCTCTTTTCTCCTTGGCACCGGGTGGCTGTCTTAGACAATTTCGACTGAATATATAAAAATATAATGATATATGTGTGGGTATTGCCGCATTATTTGTTTTATTGCATTAGTTTTTTAAGCTGCTTTCTCATGATCCTGGCCTGGTTTCTTTTTCCATTGCCTTGCAAAGCAAATATGACTATTTTACCTCTTATAGGCTTCACTTAATATTTTAGGCCATAAATAGCAGTGCGTGTCTTGGGTGAAATGCACCTTCCGTTTTGTCCTTTTTGTGTAAAGTTTTGTATTATTTATGCTTTTTGTTTTTCTTATAGACCTAGGACTTTGTCCTCCAACCTTCACTCAATCCAGTAGCTCGCACATGACACACACCACCTGGTAAATGTACTGTCTAGTGTGTGCTTTGCACCCTTTCTGTTGTTCTTTGCTCTTTGAAAAAAAAACTGGTCATGATTTATTCCTGCAATGAAACAGAGTGAAGAAAGTGGAAGATTTTGTGCTTTACTTTACCTTACTTTTCCGATCCAGCGGCCATTTGAAGATTTTGTGCTCAGAGTTAGGCTTTTTTTACTCATGTGGCTGAAGTCTGTGGTGTATTGGCTTTGACTGAACTGCACTTAAGAAGCAAACAGAATAAAGAAGAAATGATCTAAAAGGGTTGTTAGTTATATAGTCGAAAATGTCCCAAGATGGCCACCTATTGTCCATTGAGAAAAGTGGTGTCTTAGACGGGTGGATGTCTTGGACAATGTCAGTATGATATAGAAGACTCCCAGGGGGTGGGGGTGGGGAGAGGGTGGTTGTGTACAAGTGGTTGTCATGGGCAGATGTTTTAGTTTAGTTTTAGTAGAGGTTTTACGGCACTCTCAACTGCATAAGGTCATATGAGCGCCAGAAGATTAGAGGTGTTACAAGAGAGTAACAAACATAAAAAGAGAAGAAGGAGAGATAAGGACAATAGATGTTTGATAGGAAAGAAAAAGCAAACCACACCAGTGCACCTGCCAACGACCCACAGGGCAGATGTTTGTTGGAGCAGGTTCTACTGTATTTGACTCTGTCACAAATTTTCTGTATGATGCAGTTGCATTATGCTAATGAGGTTTGTTTTGGGGGTTTTTCTCATTATGTTTATGATATAATGAATATCAAGTTCACATTTACTAATGGTCTCAAAGTGCTTTCTGTGTTTGTGTGCATTGCAAACTGAACATACATGTCACCATTTGAATTTTCCTAATTTTTGTATGATGATGACTATTTCTTTTAAATCAATGTTTTTAATACAATTGAGTCCTCAGAAAAATGAAGCTTTGCAATCCAAGCACTAGATCTAGTAAAAAAAAAGAGAGAGAAACAAAACCTTCTAGGGCCTATCGTATAACATAGTTACTCAAGATTTTCCCCAATTTAATTCAGTATTTCAATTCAATAACTCGGTGTTCTTTGTGTCATTGGGATCAAAGGACCAGGCATCTTGTCAACCCCGCCAAAAAAACGAAAAAACATTTTTTTGCTAATAAATGAAAACAGAGACAGCACAATGTAAACATTTATGGCACTTCAGACTTTTCAAACATTAGCGTTATGACTTTTTAAATAACGTTCTTGTTGGAAGCTGATTTCTCATTGATATTCTATTTTCTTGTCGATGACTGATGTGAGGAGATTGATTTTTGCCTGAACGTTGCTTCTCCTTCTTAATACTTTCCTTTCCTTTCCTAGTTTGCCCCCAAACCCACCCATCCCCCCCCCCCCCTTTCCCCCACCCCCATTAAAAGAACTAGCATTTTTTATTAATTATGAATTTTTTTTTTGCAAATCTATTTTAATTAACCACCAAGTTCATTTTGAAATCTGTCCGCGTGGTTTTATGCACCCCGCATAATTTAGCAAAATTTGATCATTTTTTGCATAATTTCTGATTATTTTCCTTTATCATTCTTTGTTAAAATTAACAGAATCGCATAATTTTTCATTTTTGGGCTCAGTTTGCATAATTTCAGACTTTTCTTTGCATAAAACGATGGGGACGGTGAAATTCAGTGAAGTTTGCGGAACCCAAAATCTGTTGACCATCAGATTATGTTTAGATTTGTTGCTTTTTTTTCCGGTGTGTTTTCGGTTTTGAGAGATTGCAAAGAGGTTGTAAATAGTTTAGAGATTGTCAAATTGTCAATTACCAAGGAAAAAATCAGGGTTATAATAAATTGCATTTATAATAATAATAAATTCTATTTTGTCTCTGTTTACTGCTGTTTATGGACTAACTGTGCTCAGTTTGTGGGAACTCCTCAGTAGTTTTGTCTTTTGACTTATTGCTGATCATTTTTGCTTCTATAGCTTAGAGGTTAAGCTCTCAGACTCGCAACTGTAATGTCGTGAGTTTGAGTCCCATCAGGGGCCTTGGGGAAAGAACTTTGCAGGAATTTTTCTCACTTCTCCCAGAAAGGAATGTGTATCAAGTTATAGACAGCGGAAGATCTTGGTTGTTGTTTTTTTGTGTTGGGGTGCATGCAATCTGCAGCTTGCATTGTATGCTTCTCGAGAAGCCTTGAATGTGTCTGAGTGTTCTCGGGTCTGCTAGGGTAATAATAGTTGTAAAGCGCATAGAGCATGCTGTAGAGTGTGGATGTGCGCTATATAAATGCAGTTATTGTAATGATTATTATTTTATTGCTATTGTTGTCATGATTGAGATCTCCAGTCTCCATAATGATGTGTGAGAAAAATGAAGCTTCAATATGACAAAGTTCTTTTATTATCCCTATATTGTATCTTGATTGGCGGGGGAGGGGGTTTGTTTATTTTGTAAATTCTGTTTTGTTATGAACAAGTTTTTCTAAATATGGAAAAAAAGAACATTTTCTCTTTTTTCAATCATGATGTGTTCCACTTAAACTTTCCTCTGAATTTTCAAAGCTTAAAAAAATTTTTTTGGTTATGCTTTTTATAATCAGAAATGCTTTAGAAAGCAAAATAAAGCTCCAAACTTACTTCCATATATGGCTGTCCGGGCATTCAGGTGTACTAAGCTCTAAATCATACTAAATGTTGAAGATATTTTTTATTGAAGTTTCAAAATCTGTGGTATTGATTGCTTGTGCCCGAACAAATATTTGGACAAAATTCAAATTCTAGAGGGGGGGGGGGGGGGGGGGGGTTAAAAGATACATTAACCATTAACCAGGCCCAATTGTTAAAAGAATGAAATATTTTTTTTCCTTTCCTGGTAGATTTTACTTTTTGGGCTTACAACATTTGAACATCTTTCCAATGGTATGTTCCGTCACTTACTTTGATAAATGTATCTTGTAGAAAGACTACAGTTTGTGTTGATGGGAGTGTATAAATCACCTACATTTAAAAAAGAAAGAAAAAAAAGACTAGTTTTCATATCTCTGAGGTTGGTAAAGTTATCAGAATTCTGAAGGATATCTGACATTTGCTACTTCTGATTCGCTAATGCTTGTGTTTGCTTCTTGTCAGGGAATTTTTTCTTCAGAACAATTCATGAACACTCTTTTGTATTTGAATTGTTTAGTCTAAGATGAGTGTCGGGCATGTCATAGAAAACTTTACTACTTGAAGTACAAAGGAAATCTGGATTAAAGGTTCAACTAGAGTGTAAACAATGATATATGGGAATAAAAATGATGTCAAGATGAAGGTCCAGCATTGTCTTTGGTATTGCCACTGTTTTAGAAGGTTTGTGTAGCTTTCTTTGTTTCCTTTTCTGGTCAAATTTTGGAATTTTTTCCTGCATATTCCTTTCAATTTGAAATGGGGCCAATAATAGAAATGAGTTTAAGACTGAAACCTGAGCTATCCCCTCCCCCTTTTCCTTCTTTTGCCAGGATAAGTAGAGAAAGCTGACTTTCTGTGTTCAAAAGTTTACACTCATGGATGGAATTGTGTATTAATTTGGATTCGCCATGTGCACCCTTGATATTGAAAGCTGAATGCGAGCTTTCAATTACTTTTGTCAATTTGTTAATTTTTTAGTTTGAATAATAATTAGATCATCCCTCATTGTCTGACGGTGACCAATGAATCTGCACAGAATATTTCTTTAACCCTATAAGTGCGTCGTGTTTTACTATCGTATCCATCCGACGTGGGAACTCTGTGCCACCTCTTTCCAAAGAGGAAATTTACTCATTAATCTGATCTGTACGCTTTGCATAGCAGTCTGTCAAAATGATTTTTTGAGAAATACTGAAAGTTTCAAAGAGATGTTGGTGCCAGTAATATTACAAAATTTGGAGAATACTACCCCGGGGGTCCAAAATGACCCTAGCGCGTACGGATAGGGTTAAGAGAAACTGACGAAAAATGGATTCAAATAATTTGTGGCTTCTGCTTTGACCTATGAGACTATCTTTGGCTGACAGAGAAGAGTTTGTGAGCATTTAAAAGTTTCATTTCCAAATCAGTTATGGATGTATGCAGGTTGAGATTTTTAGCAGCATATATAGCCTTTTACGGTTCACTAGTGTATCTTACTTTTAATTCTTTTGTTTCCTTTTCCTCAGCAGAAGAACACGACAGAGGCAACAGGCTGAGGATTTGGCCACAAACAGAGAGGTGGAGAAGTACATGTCGACAACATGACAACATTGCTGCTTTGCTGCTGCTCACTGCAAAAATTTGACTGTTCCTGCCAGGCCGTTGTTGACAGCTCCTTCCACAACTCTTTTGATAGTATCCACGTCACTTTAGAAAGTACACCGATAACATCATGTATGTGGCTCATTCTTCCCACAGATTGTACATCCAAAAATACTATATTTTGTTATAATTTTTTTTCTGGAGCACTCTTAACGTACTTGGTAATACTTGACTGTTAGATTTGGTCACAAATTATTCATGATATCGGTCAGAGTAAAACCCTTCTATAGCATCTGTGAAAAGTTAACATGAAAATAGAATGCGGAACTGCATGTCAATGGTTGTTTTGTGGTTCATCAGGGTACATCATAAACATGCAGGAAGATTTGTCAGCATTTTTTGTTGTAGAAAACAAAATATGAATCTGCATCCACCATCTATATGCCTTCTGGGAAGCCAAAAACGTATCTGAGTCTGAGTGAATTGGGGTTTGATGGAATAATAATAGTTGTAAAGTGTGAGGAGCATCCTATTGAGCATGGATATGCGCTATGCAAACGCAATTATTATTATAATTATCTTGAGAAAGAGGGAAAGTTGAAGATTTGAAGAGACCATGAAAGCTTTGACTGTGATTGGCTCCTTCTGACAAAGGAAAACATATTTCAGGGTTCTTATTTGGTGTGTAGACTTGACAGACTTCAAGAGGTTTCTTCCTAGATTTAAGAAATTTTGACTTTTAACTTCTCTGTCACTGCAAACAATTACAAGCGGATTTAATGGGTTTTAAAAGTGAAACTATTCGTTGGACTCAGATAGTTTTTGAGATATGGTCACGTTTGTGAGTGAGGGATGAACCAACTACTTTTGAGATAAATGTCAAAAATCAACACCATTCGTAATATTAAATAATGGAAAAGCTTTTAAAAATTGAAGTGAAATAATTGAGTCAGGACGCGGTGGAATCAGGCGCTCGTCAATTTTTGGGTGTGTGGAGGTATTGGTATCAACTGCAAGCTTGGCGGAAGAACTGGCCGAAAAATGCCTGTTTCTTCGATTTCTTTATTTTGACGAGCGCCTGATTTCACTACAATGGCTCACATTTTGTGAGGGTAGGGAAAAATGGGTGGTGAGTTGATATATTACGAATCTCAAATTTCCCCAAAATAAGGTTTTTCACTATTTTCCATTTTCCTAATTTTCTTTAAATAAGCCTGTGTGACATGCGGACCCTTTTCCCTGTCCCACACACACACATATTGTTTTCCCCATCAGCCGCTTTATTTAATAATGATGAATGATGTTATTATGTGATATGTTAGTATTTTATGGTGGTTTGTTCTGCATTTTTACAATTGTGTGAAGAAATACAGGGGATTAAAGCTAGTGTTTTAGTGACTCGTGGAAAAATTGCAATACTTAATATTTTATATTTTTCTGGACTCTTACTCATTTGAGTGAAGATTGGGTTTGAGATGGCAAAATGTGAATGCCTTTATCAGCTATTTAAAAAATGTAATTAGAGGTGTGCCCCCATTGACACTATGTACATAATTTAGGAGGCAGCTGTTTCAACCCAGGCTAAGAGGGATACAACAACCCAGCAGACAAACTGAGAAAATCAAGTTTTGGTGTGAAAATATTGACCGATTTACATCCACGCGTCTTCAATTTCTTTTGATTTTTTTTCGTGAGTTTTCCATCAGATTAAATTTTTGTAGGCACATTTATCTCTTTGACCTTTGAAGTCCTCTCTAGCTCAGGTGTGTCTGTGGCTGTTAAGTCTTGATGTGCTTATGTGGCAGGGAGAGAGATGAATATCTGTAGTTTTTTCTTCCTGAAAAAAAAATGTGATGTATGGTGTCTTAAATGACAGAGGAGTCTGTGTGTGTTGCTCAAGTTTCAACTAGATGGAAAGAGTGTTTTGTCCATGTAGCCTAAGAGCTGTTATTTGTGAGGGGAAAAAAACTCATTCCACCAATGCTACTTTTGTATTTATGTGCAATATACATGTAAATAAACTTCTGATATTTATTTTCTGGGTTTTTTTTTTACTCATTTTATTTTTTGTAGCAACACAATTTGTGACAAGTCGCCACCTGAGAATTACAAAGTTCTGCCTGACATTTTTGGCCCTTTTGAGTTACTAAGACCATGGGGTCAGAAACCAAAAATTCTGACTGCTCTATCAAGATCATAAGATTATTCTGAGTGGTTATCAAGATATTCAAGAATTGCATTAGAAAAAGCTTGACATATTGTGAAATTCAAAACTTTTTACATCGAGTTTCTCACAACTAGGCACTGAGCAGGTAGAACATTATAATTCTAGGATAGCTACGTGTCCAGCTTCACTGAGAAAGGCATTGTTTGTATCCTAAGAAAGCATACTCTACCCTACTTCCCCTTAGTTCACCCATCTGTCTTTGAATGGGTGGTAGACAGTCGTCAAAAAACAATGTATATATTTGAAGAGCAATGCCTCAAATCTCAAACTCAAAGGCACCAATATGACTGCACTGGTCAATGTTGGTTATGTTAAAGTGTGTAGGAGTACGGCTTAACACCCGTTTCGACACTATTAGTTTATTTAAGAGGTGGGACCTCCAAAGTTAGCATCCCTCTCCCTTAGAACCAAGCCAAATGGGTTGAGAGCCTTAAAAACTGCAAAACAATTCAATTTCAAGCGCACCCAGTCTGGGATTAGTACCACAGCCAGAATCCGGGTAGCGACGAAAAAATTGTCCCTTTCACCTCCTTTCCTGCTCTCTATCTAGTCTAGCAATATTCTGTCGTCTGCTTTCGTTTCCACTTTCTGCCCCTACCTCTGGGCTCCCGACTCTTTCTCCAGCCTTTCAACTGCTACTCCTAGGCTCCTTACTGCTGTCTTTCAGCCACACCCCTGATCTTCTGGTAGGAAATATCTACACCTAGCCTTCTCGGACAAGGGAAAAAAATCTTGGAGGACCCGTGTGCAAGTTGCGCACGTTAAAGATCCCTTGGTGGTCTAAAATCGATAAGAGTAGACTTCGGCCGCCACGTGGGCAAAATAAAAAATTTTCTACCCACTGAAAATGTTTAATGTGTCCCGCACGCTCATATGACCTTATGCAGATGCGAGCACCGTAAAACATTACCAAAGAACCATAGCCATCCACTCTGCACTGTACTCAATGAGGATACCAACTAAGCTAGTGGAGTGCCCAGCAAATGTTGTACCTAACAGTAAAGTTAGTTCAAAGAGTTCATTCATTGTTCATTGTTTCAGGAAGCAACATCCCTGCACTCCGGACATGTCCACTGATGCTTCGGTGCTCTCTCCAAAATGTTGCCGAGGGTCCTTCCACTGATTGTGCCAGTACAAAGAGTGTGATAGGCGAAACACCATTTTAATTTAGTAAACAAATGCAAGATAACATTCATATCTCTAGCAAAACTAATTCTTTTGGTTTTAGTGTTTTACTACTGCACTTGCAGCACAACAAAGTCATATAAGTGCTGAAGACCAGAAGTGTAACTAGAGAGTTACAAACACAAAAAAAGGAGGGGAGATAAGGACGACAGATGTTTGATAGGAAAGAAGGAGCAAATGGCACCAGAGCAAATTCTTAAGTTATGAAGATATACATGTACAATATAGGTGCAAACCATTAGTAGATCAGTTCAGTGCATTGTCTGTAGATTTCTTTAATAATAATAATAAATAGCATTTCTATAGCGCATATCCCCGCTCAACTGCAGGCTCTATGCGCTTTACACTATATTATTACCCCAGCAGACCACAAAACACTCCGAAACATTCTCAGCTTCCCGGGAAGCATACAGTGCAAGCAGCTGATTAAGGGCTCAAACACTAACAAACTGACAAGATAGTTGAACAAAAAGAAGTTCATAGGTCAAATGACATTCTATTGTTACTGTGAAGAGAAACAAGACCACCAACAGAAATAAATACGGTATACACAAAACTTTTGAGAAGAGACTTTATTGTTTCTGTCAACAGTCAAACTAAGACTGTATACAAAATCTTAGCCATTCAATACCATTATTTATGCATATCTTGGTGGATGGAACAAGGATAAATAGGATTTCTTACCAAATCACTTTCAAAAAGTAGTTCTGTCAATGTAAAGCAAAGGGCAAAAACATTGAGTACAGCCAACATTGAGATATCGTCTCCGTCTCAGAACTACTTTGTCCAAGGTGTCTCTTTACTTTCGTACGCTTAGGAGTATTAGGACAAAATAGTTCTTAGGCGAGAATGTTTGTACTGAGCAATAAATATTACTTCAAATGTGACATGTTCATATAACAATGACGAAAAATAGAAAAGAGAAGGGTACATTCATGCTGCTTTGAGGTTGGAGAAGATTTCTAAGACAAACCACACATTTCGGGGCGATATTACTTAAAGTTACAAACCAGACTGATTTATCGTTTAGAATCCCATCATGATAGCTTTGAAGAGCAAGAAAGGTTGAGCCATGATTTTTTTTTTAAAAAGGTGCAATGAAGTGAGAAACAGAGTTCAAGCCAAGGCATTTCCCACAGCTGACAGAAAGAAGACATTAAAAAGACTACTAAAATAGCATGAAGTGATTAGTTCAATAACCTCTCCCTCTAAAATTTATTTCGATAATAATATGGGAGTGTTTTTATCATATTTTTAAAAAAGCAACAACCATCAAACTTCTTTAAAGTCCCTTTTCAAAAACTCTGGACCTTATGTCAGAGATGCCAACCACAGAAAACCGAAATGAGTACTGGGAAATATGAAAATGTGTATTTTCAGTGGGAAATGTGTATTCCCCACGACCCACCGACCAACTAGTAAAATGTTCAGGGTGTCCAGCAATATTTCCTGAAAAATATTTACCAGCTCATCAGCTCGAAAAAGGGAGCACACACGCGTACAATATATACATGTATCCAGTCAGCAACATGTCAGTGTTCAGTGTCGTACTGGGGTCTTGTTTGACTTTATTTCAGTCTATTATAATATTTTCCTCTCATTATTATATAAAACATTAATCCTGCTTTGAGAGTTGGGAAGGGCCTAGAACAAGAATTTCGACAATCAAGAACCAGTCTGGGTATCATGATTCATATTATGAACTAACAGATTAAAATTATTCCTCAAACTCAGAGAAGAGCAATAACTTGAATGGCTCAAGTAGACCCATGCACTGGGAGAGTTGTGTAACAACTGTGAGAGGGCAAGATGCAGTGACACTGAAAATCTGCCAGTCTTGAACCAAAAGCTACAACATACACTGTAGGTATAATTTACTATCACCCATCCAATGAAACGCGAACACTTTATTTCAATAACACAAGACTTGCAAAGAATGAAGGGTCCCGATTCCGCACGCGGCCTGCACCAACCTGCGATTTGCAGAAAGCTCTAATCAAAATTCTGAAATTTGCTTCCAAGGTTTTGTCCTCTGGTGTTGCCTTCGGCCCCCCCTAGTATCTTAAATCTTTAAAAAAAAAATAATCCCCTCCCCTATTCCGTAGTCCTATACTTCACAACGCAGTTACTCACACCAAAGACGGTCTTTGCTCACACGATGCCGCATTTATTTATGATGCGAATGCGCGCAGGTTCAATGACCGGTCACGATGGCGAGCCAGACAATCTAAAAATCGGACGACGCTTGTATTTTCTTCTCTTTCTTTCCCACACGTGACAGCACAGAGACGAGTCCGAGCGTTGATTGAATTTTATTTCCAAGGCAACACAGCGTTTACACTGCACAACTTGCATGTCACAAATGTTGCGTTATCAGACTACCGCTGGCAAACTTCTCGGTGGTAACGAAAGCAAAAGTAGATCTTGATTTTCCCGATCGAGCATCGGTGTCACATACACTTCCGCCTGCCGCCAGAGCCGCCTGTTCGCGTGAAACGTACTCTCGGACGCGGAAAAGGTGAACGAATATAATATCACAATCGCAACCGGCAAAAATGAAGTTACTGACCTTATCAGACTTGGTTTTCAAATATTCCAGTTCCGCGATACTGATACTATTTTGACAAAAGATGGGACTTGAGGTAATTAGGTTTATTCGCCCAAGCTGAATCTCGTATTTTTCGCATCCTAGGATGCGTATTTTTTAATGAAAAGTCGTATTCGCGTTTTTTCGGTAAAAAATCGTACTAAAATACGTAAAATCATACTGGTTGGCATCTCTGTTATGTCCTTTACCCCCCCCCCCCCAAAGACCTGTTGACTTATTGGAAATGATTATCTGTCACAAACTATCACTCAACCAGTCAATTAACTTCATCACAACTAAAACAACTGTAGCAGGAATGAGTTCATTTTTTATGTCTACAAAACTAAAAACCTTTCTGACCTAACTAAAAGTAAAGAAAATTCTCTGCTGAGGGTCTGTGCGTCAATAAGTAAGTTTTCAAGTGCAAGCAAAAAAAGATAGATAACTTGCATAGCTAGAGTTTCAGAGAACAATATACGGAAACAAAAATTTAATACATTTTCAGCTCCGATATTCACTAAAAATAACAAAAGTATCATTTCAAATATGGTTTCATGAACCACACACCATTTCCGTCATACACATAAAACAGAGACAGACGGAATCTAAATAAAGGCTTTAGGAAAGGTAACCTAAACACATTTCACCGAGGGCTGCCAGCGACAATGAGTGATTGTTCCAGAGGTAGAAGTGTGAACATGTCTCTCCCATCACAGCTGGTGCTAACTCTTCATCTGTGTAGTCAAGGGAGGTAGGTTTCAATACAATACAAACATCATTTTATATATATATATATATTTGGTGGAGTCCGCCTAAACCGAACACGGTGAATCCAACAAAAGCGTTAATACCGAAAGAAAATACATTCCCCGAGTTGTCTTTCCTTTGCTATTTCAGCAATCTCTGGTTCAGTTTGAGTAAGAGTTTTACTGCACTTGCAACACAAATAGGTCATTAATAAGTATCGAAGGTGCTACTTGAGAGTAACTTACATTAAAAAAAATATTTTAAAAAGAGGAGAGATAAGGATGGCAGATGTTCGATAGGAAAGAAGGAGCAGACCACAGCAGCCACCCACAATCAATGATCTCTCTGAACTGAAAACATAGTCAAAACCAAAGAAAATCCAGCGGGCCCGCAGATAATTTCGCTTTGAGCGGACTCCACTACATAATTAAAAACACCCATGAACACGGAATTGAAAGACTAAGCTTTGACAGCACGGAACAAAGCACAACCGTAAGTTCCTCCTCTGAGCCAGAAATGGTACCTTGCGTTACACACACACACACACACTGGGGTGGCACAATATGTTATATGTACAACAAGTTAAATGAAAAAAACACTCACACCTCTGTGCAAAAACTCTCAACAGTCTCTCAATCCCGTCAACTCCCATGTGGCAAAAATAAGACAACTGTCATAAAACAAACACATACTTTAAAAAAAAAAAAAAAAAGACAAAAAAAAAAGACAGAAAAAAAAGAAAGATAAAAAAAAGAAAGAAAAAGTAGGCTTACCAAAAATTGGTAAAAGAAACAACCCCCACCCGCACCCTTCCCATATTATCTCCATAAACAAACAAATTCCACTTTCTTGAGTAATAGACAAAACTGATACCCACACTCCTTCACCAAATGCCATTTTTTAATCCACCATAACTCCCATACACTTCAATAAAACAAAACAACAGCTAAAAGCAAGCAAAGCAATATAAGCCGCGCAATTAGTAAACTGACTTCACATAACGTCTATGACTGACTAATAAAATAGTAGATCTAGTTAAACAACTCTCCAGTAAATGGCCAACTTTCCTCTCTCACATTAGGTACCTGACAACTTCGCATAGTCACCATTCAAGTCTCAACAGAAAGAAAAAAAAACCCCAAAAAACCCAACCCATACAACACAAATACCCCATAAATGTACATTATTTTACAGTCCAAACTCAAAACTGTCCCCGATGAGAAAAGCCTACTTTCTCACATCACGCATAGTGAATGAGAACAACAAAATATTTCAGACAACCCTCAAGGTACAAACAAAACAATGCACAATCCACCAACCTATCAGCACTCGCAGAAATCAGCATTCTCCCACAATTAATCAGCACACTCGCACAGCTAAACTGCACTCACAGAAAACTGCACACTCACAGAAAACTGCATATTCACAGAAATCAACACATTCGCAGTAATCTGCGCACTCGCACGACGTATCTAAGCATTCGTAGAAATTTGCACTCTCGCAGAAATCTGCACACTCACGGAAATCTGCACACTCAACTATAAATCCGCCCGCACACTCAACTATAAATCCGCCCGCGCACTCAACTATAAATCAGCCCGCACACTCAACTCTAGATCTGCACTCAGGGAGATCTGCACACTCTCACCACTGACCAAACGCTGGATTAAATTTCCGGCTAATTGGTGGTGAAGTCAAAGTAATCGATGGAGGGAGCGGGTTTTGCCTTTGCCCCCGTCTGCTCCCAGCCCCTGTTTGGTGCTGCTGCCTCTTCCTTAGCTGGCTCCTTCCGGCCCCACGGGTTCAAACCTCCCTTGCCAGAGCCACTGCTCTCTTCCAACGAAGTTTTCTTGGTGTCCAGCACCTTGAACCTTTAAAACGTAGGAAAAACAAAACTGGTTTTACATGTGCAAGTGTGAGATGTTAGAATGATAATAAAAATAATAATGATAATAATAACAATAACAATAGCAACAATAAAGCAAATTTTAAAAAGGCTTGGAAACCGAATGAAACTCATTTTTTTATAACACTAAAAAACAAAGTTTTCGTTTTAGTAAGAGTTTTAAGGCGCTCGCAACAAAGTGCAATCTGTGGTTGTGTACAGTACTCAGCATTTATATCATCTTTTATACATTGTGCCTTTTTCATTAAGTGCATAACGTACAACTTGAGGCCATAATCCTGCTCAGGTTGACATGCAGAGAAATGAAGAGAAGAATTCTATTTCTTCACACCTTTCTACACAGCACAAGCTGAGATTCCTGTGTCAGACACTTCCTCACATATCTAATAACTACAATTTTCTATCAAAAATAGTGTGCCATCACTAGTGATAATAATAATAATAATAATAACAATAACAATAAATAAATTTCACTCAATGCTCTTTACAATAATGAAAAGAACACGAGCATCTCTCTCTCTCTCTCTCTCTCTCTCTCTCTCTCTCTCTCTCTCTCTCTCTCTCTCTCTCCAGTTGTTGTTATAGATCCAGGTCTCTCTCCAGTAAACCCTAGAGTACAGTCTCAAAAAAAAAAGTTGATCCCTATTTCCCTGCATAAAACCACGGGGACAGCCAGGACTTCCCAGAGAAATTGACGACCAGCAAATCGTGGCAAACAGACCCTCAGACTTAACCTGCCGCGACAAACTCACCTCACTCCTTGAGTTTTCAAGGATGAAATAGGAGGAGGGGTAGCAGCAGCAGCAGCAGCAGCAGCAGCAGCACTGCTGGGGTTCTGGCTCAACGACTGTGACAGTAGCACTGATGGAAGAACACTCCTCTCCCTGCGCATAGGAGAAAAAACGTTTTTTTAAAAACAGAATCACCAGTAGCAATACAAAGATAAGATAAGATTAGATAATACTTTATTATCCCAGAAGGAAATTTTTCTTGGCTGTACAGGACCGTAAACAAACACATGCAGATTTGCATAACAATTTTAATGACATATTACAAGCACTGAATAATGGCCTCAGCCAAAAAGAAAATGCCTCTCTAGATTAAAACTTAAGTTATAGTAACAGTTCTATAACGCTTGCAACACAATCAACATCAAACTGACAAAGAGAGCCCTCCTAAAACTGTGTGCCATTGGCTATCACAGAAAGGTTGTTGTGGTGATGTCGTTTTTATTAACCACACAGGGTCATTTTTCCGGCTTTCTCCCGTTTTTAAAATGTTTGTATCCAATTTCATGGTGCTTTCCCAACCAGGAAAACTGAAAATGAAATTCCTGGCTTTTTTCCTGGAAGGTGGGTACCTTATCAAAACCACAAATATATGCGCATTTTTCCACATTGAGTCGATAACTATACCTGTAAACTAATTCAAAAGAAGCAAAAGAGAATAACGGTACAACACAAATTAAAACTTACTTCAAAGCTGTGGTAACCACATTTTTATTAGGCTCCTTGTCAAAGCTTTGCGTCCGACATCCATACATCTCGGAGAGCTCGTGAATAAAGTGACGGTGCTCTTTCTTCATTGGTGGGAACGAATGAGATTTGGTAGCTTGTGATGACTGAGGAGACAAAGTCACAACATAAAGGAATTAAAAATGAGTTACAAACTGAGAGGCACAAAAAACACTTTAAAAATACAATCAAACCTGCTTTGACGGCCACCTGTACAAGACAACCACCTGCACAAATGGCCATTTCCCAACATCTCTCTTGCGGTTTGTTTGGGGGTTGTTGTTTTTTTTTGGGGGGGGGGGGGGTGTATTTGGTTGGGGTTTTTTAAAACTTTTTTAAAACACATTACTATTACACTTGGATCTAAGAAGGCCACTTTTCTCCTCGACAATGGGTGGCCGTCTTAAACAACTTCCAGTGTATATATATGGAGCTGAATGCTGGAGGATGACTGATCATGACCGTGCCAAGCTATCTTCCTTTCATACAACCAGCTTACGCCAAATCCTCAGAATCTTCTGGCCCGACAAGATATCCAAAGCAGATCTGTTACGTAAATGTAGGCAAGAGGACATGACCACCATAAAAAAAAGGAGAAGATGGAGATGGATGGGACTTGTTCTGAGAAGAGAACGAGACTCTATTGTGAAGACTGCCCTCCACTGGACACCCGAAGGACATCGCAAAAGGGGCAGACCCAAATTGACCTGGAGACGCACAGTAGAGTCTGAAATGAAGTCCTGGAATCATTCGTGGGGAACGCTGACCAAGATGGCCCAAAACAGACAGAGCTGGAGGTCCTTTGTTGCTGCCCTAAACGCCAGATGGCGTAAGGGGTAGTAAGTAAGTAAAATTGCTGGCCAGCTGCTCAGCCGAAACGAGGAGAAAAGTGGTCATCTTAGTTTAGTTTAGTTTTAGAAAGAGTTTTTATGGCACATGCAACACAATACGGTCATATATGTGCCGAAGAATAGATGTGTTACAAGAGAGAAACACACAAATAAGGAGGAGAGATTGAAAGGACGATAGATGTTTGATAGGAAAGAAGGAGCAAACCACACCAGAGCACCCGCCAACCACCCACAAGGTCATCTTAGACAGGTGGTTGTCTCAGAAAGCCTCATTATAATATGTGACGAAAAAGACAAAGTAAAAAATTTGGACTCCTTGAAAAATTAATGAAGATGCGCATTTATTGAAAATGACTCAATAAACTACAATAATAATTTTCAAAAATATATCACGTCAAAAAAGTATAATCCTGATCATTTCAGTACTTTTTCTGATCTGATAAAATCTTCCATTTCTCATCTTGTACTTTTAGGTATCTGGTTCATAAAAATTGATCAAGTCTAATACAAAATATTCTTTACCCCAAACTTTATGTACAAAAACTTCCACAAAATGAAGAAACAATTTTGAAAATGACAAACATATTTTCATTTGAATATCAAGTTTCCTAGTTGTTAGATTTGCTGCGACAGTCGTCTTCATAGACTTGACCTACAGGGGTTAGGTTCTCAGACTTGCAACCATAAGGTCATGGGTTCGAATCCAGTTAGAGGCCAAACGGTCAGTCGTTGAGAAAAGCACTTTCACTTTGTGAAATCTAGTTCTGGTCGAGCATCAAATATAAAAAATATGTCTTGATTGTAAATACTTTTGGTTGTTACTCTGAGATAACTTTAATCTGTGAAAATCCTATTCACCTTTCTGCTTGATGAGTCCAATCCTAGCAATATGTTACGCCTATATTAGAGGGGGCATACTTTAAAACCTCTTTTTTTCTATTTTTACAATCACTCATATTTTAGGTGAGTAAACATACAGTACATGTCAGGCTCAATGAGAACACTGAAACTGCAGGTCAATCACAAATGTACAGAAACGATTTCTTTACAAAACTTTAAGAAAACAAGTTACCTCTTTTGAAGCCAAGACCAGTTCGTTTAAAGTCTTTTCCACACTCATACAATATTGTAGGTTTTTTCTGGAAAAAAGGGATAAAAATCTCTGGTTAATAGCAGGAAGGAATAAGCAACGAAAGCAACGAACGGCTGATAGGTGACTAGCCTGACCACAGCCGTACTTCATACTACTACTACTAATAGGCTGCTTGCATACACTTTCCAAGAATAAAACTAATGACAAACAAAATTAGCATTTCAGCATTTCATCTTACATTTTGATTCTGAAAAGCTGTAGGCTGCATATCAAACTAGAATAACAACTATGATAACACATTGAAAAAAAAAAAGAATTAAAGACCCCAGGGATATTGGGGGGGGGGGGGAATAGAAGGACACACCTGTGACCTTGAGAAAATTAACCCTTAATTAAGACCCTATACCGCTGGTGACCGCTGACGCCGTATTTTCCTATACCGCTGGTCGACTTAATCGTTTAATTCCCAGTGCTAGAAACAGGGGATGTAACTCCAGATGACTCTGTCGCGAGCAGAAAGTACCGATAATGTCATGAGAGCAGTTCTACACCGAAAGTTTGGAAATTTTGCAAGTTTCTAAGAAAAATTAGTCACTTTTCGCTGCCAGGCCCTTCAGGCCGCAAAATTTTTGACATTTTTTATCCTAACCAGACCCCAATAATGATCTCCCAGTCAGATATATCGATAAATATGACCGTTGAAGACGATTGCAATGTTCCGCATAACATCGATGACGATTTTGACGATAGTGGAATTGGCAGGGGATCACCACTAAAGCTACCAGAGGCTAGATCTACGGCTGGGTCTGATAATACTTTGACTGAAGTGGAGTCGGGGATCACACACAAGACTTAACTCATAGAGTTGGTATTAAAAAAAAGTGTTTTAATCATTTCCCCTTTTGTTCAGACTGTGTATTCATATATAAAAAACATTTTCAAACTTCAGTCAAATCTAACAACAATTTAAGACACAGTAAACAAAATGATGAACCATCCTAATTTTTTCTAGTATCTCAATTTTAATTCAGGATTCTAGGGAGGTATGAAAAAAAAAAGAATTCAGGGTTTTAAGGGTTAATAAATGTAAAGGTAACTATCAAATCCATCAATATCAGTTAATCAGACCATCTTATGCTGAAAGGAATTTATGGCCAAAAATCTTGAAAAATTCACATACAATTGGCAAACCAAAATCCCCTACGTAATAACATAAAATCATTATGAAGCCCTCATCCTCTTAGAAAAATAGAAGACCAGTCGTATCTTAAATAAAAAGCTTAGATTTGAGAGCTTGAGCCCCTAGATTCCTCTAAGGACTGTGCCACATGGTAGAGCATATCTGAGCCAGTCAAAAGGTATCTATAAGCACAATCAATCCATAGACTTATACTCCTAGAACGCTGCGTAAACTGTCATGGCCACCATTCTTCAATCTGCTCTCTACAAAAACTTCGCTCCGAAGCATGAGCACAATGGGCCACTACATTACGCCCCAAATAAAGGGGAAAACACCACTCAGCTAGAGTAGTAAAGTGTCAGCACATTTCCCTTATGCCCTTCATTAGGCTCAAGTTGAGTCAAACGCTGTGCACCATAGTGAAGCGGAAATGCACCAGAGCGCAAGGTCTAGGATATTATGATACTACAAGTTAATGAATCTGTCACATATACTACGATCACATATACAACACATCTATGAGCAGAAATTAATAACTCATCAATGACATGAAGCTAGCAAGAAAATGACTTGTTAAAAGTATTTGTTCAGGTAGGAAATAGAAAGGTTGTTTTCCACACAAATTATTTCCAAGCTTTTAAATGCAAGTTCTAAAAACCTGAATTTATCCACAGCGGCCCCCTCCCATTACATAGCTGAACATGCCCCTGCGGTTGATTAAAAGACAGATTTCTACGATAAATTACTTCAAAAACTTGTTAGCTTCATAAACCCTGACAACAAACACGTGTTCCGCTCACTTGGCAAAATCTTTCAGGAAGTCTGAATACTTTGGTTTTTCCACTTCAAGGTCAGGGTCATCGACTTCGAGCGCTTCTGCTAAGCGTCGGTTTCGCTCCAGGACAGAACAGTTTGCATCACACTCCAGCCTATAGAAAAAAAATGGTCATACAGTTGTCATACAGATGCTATAAATTGGACACGGTGTGAAAAGAAATCTACTCAAAAATGTCTTTTTCCCCACTTGATAAATCTTACACAGAATTTTTAAAACCTTCAAAACCATTTTCGGAACATTTCATAGCAACAGATCTCAAGGTTTCAACTATGTGAGACATTATGGTGAAAGCGGGCGCTCATGACAATGCTGACATCAAAGAAAGGGTCATTTTTCCACTCCTTGGGCAAATTTTATCAATTTTTCTTTATTCCTTTCACCCCATTTAATGTCCACTTAAAAACACATTTCTGTGTGGATTTTATTTAAACACATCGTTCAAAGGCACCAAAAAAAAAGTAAATTAGCAGTTTCCAAGGACACAACAGCTTTGGAAGACGTCATACTTTCGTGGCCATTTTCTCATTAATTTTACCTCCGAAACCATGTGGCCCCCATCTCCTCAATTGGAAATATCTCAAATGCTATTCAAGATAAATGGGTATCTTTTCATCAGAAGCAAGATAAATCAACAAACTTTAAACCGATACCAATAACTCCATTTGCCCAAAAATTGACAAGGGCCTAATTCCACTGTGCCAAGACACATATTACACTTAAAAACATAATTGCCAGCAGTTGTTACCTTGAACTAACTCCATTGTCCTAATCTTTTTGCCCACCTTGGCTTAACACTCTGGCCCCACGGGACGCCGATCTGCGACAGTAGGAAGCCATCCCTTTCCCCCACGGGACGCTAATAGGCGACAGTGTAATATAGAGGCAAAAACTTTCTAGCAATGGTCTCATTTTTTATATGCGCTCTTGTTAAAGTTTAATTTCCTTTCTGAAAGCTGTAGTCTTTGAGGTCGAAAATCAGTTCGTATACAACAAATGGAGTTAAATTTTTTTGAAAAATGTCGAGTAGACCCACGAGTGCAGCTTTACTCTTACCCCATGATGAGAATTCGGGTGATAAATGAGCTAGATCTTATGTTTTCAGTTCCAAACATGCGATCATCACTTTCAGTTTTTTCTCAGTATGCTGAAAATTTCATAATGGTTGGGGGTTTTATTAGCCAAGATACAGGTGTAGTACTCATGTACCCCATCTGCATCCCGGTCCATGGTGATAAGTGTTGTGCGCTCTGCATGGGTGGAAATGTTAATATTGAGTTCGTACCTCCTTTGGTTTTTCTTCTGCTGAGAGAACTGTGCCATGTCCACACTGCGACCGCCGCCCGACTCTGCCACACTGAGGACGCTCAGACGCTGAAACTGTTCTATCTCTGACGTCTGACCACCGCCCAGAGAGCAGATGACTCGCCCAGATCTGTTTCCACACGGGCACAAGATGGTCATCTTTGGAAAAAAAAAAGCACATGGCTATGAAAATGTCATTCAGCGCTGAGGATAGCTAATAGGAAAATGTCATTCAGTGCTGAGGATAGCTAAGAGGAAAATGTCATTCAGTGCTGAGGACAGCTAAGAGGAAAATGGCACTCAGTGCTGAGGATAGCTAAAAGGAAAATGTCACTCAGGGAAAATATTATTCAGTGCTGAGGAGAACTAAAAGGAAAAAGTCCCTCACTTCTGAGGAAAGACACAAAAAAAAGTCCATCAGTGATGAGGACAGATACAAATGCTTGCAGACAGTCAAGTTCAAGCCGGTAATGGAATACCGATACAATGGAATCCTCTTAAACCGAACACAGTTAATAAAAAAAAACAATAGATAATCAAAAGAAAAGAAAACTCTCAATTTGAGCAGCCTCTCTACGCCGAAAACCAGACTAAACCGCAGAAAATCCAGGGGTCCCACAGATTCCGGTTTAAGCAGACTCCACTATGACTGTATACTGGGCATTTAAGGCACAGAGACCAATGGTACAAACCAAAATACAGATCTTTCAGGTTCAAACTGTTTAAAGTGTGTTAAGGAAAAGCTTTGATTGCTTGAAAGACATATTATGAACACAACAGATGGAAAGAAAGAAAAGATATGGTACCCGCCAAACACCCACATGATGAAAAGCACGACAGACAGGAATAGTAAAGAAGTACAACCTAGCAACACCCTCCAAACACCAGCATGTCACCGGCAGCACTTAGCCCCTGTGCCATCAAATGGAGAAGAGCCGAGATCTATGCCCCGGCAGAGAGAACTTTTATCTAGTACCTCAGTCTTTCTGTTGAGACGTTGTATGCCTACCTCCTAAGGGATCTAAATTGAGTTGATAACACAACAAAAACATTTTTAAAAACCTTCTTGTTTCATGCGATGAAAATTCAATTACCAAGGCATTTTTTTTTTGTGCTCAATTAAGTGAACTTTAACACATTACACCCTACAGATCTGGACGAGAAGTCTATTCCAAAATCCTATGCAAGGGAACCCACTTCCTGTGAATACAAGCATTTAAAAAACGCATATTAAAAATGCTAGACAAATTTCAAAAATCTCGAAAAAATAATAATTAGAAATTGAAATGAATGTAGTTTCAGAAAAATTTAACCTTATGTATGCACAAACTGTTGGAAATGTTCTAACTTTAGTTCAATCGGAGTTTCTGACACGTCACTCTCACTCTCCTCAGTCTCACGGCCGGGCCTTACATCTAAATTCTAAATCTGATTAATCGGAATCTCCCCAAACTCCTGCTAAAACATTTTCATCAATATCTGATCCATCCGATTTGTCATTTGCTTGTTCTTGCTCAAATCCATCGTTATTTTCTTTTTCAAACTCAATTGTATTGCTTTTCAATAAGTCAAGATACCTTCAAAGTGTCGGAAACGCGATCGCACTTCTATCTGCTCTACTACTAAAACTACAGGTCTGAACAACTTCGGTATCAAACAGAAGAAGAAACATTTTTCAATAACTAGGTAAAACAAAACCTCCCAAGGTGAGACTTCGTTTCTAAAGACGTCTAGTCGGAGTGCGCGATTTCGGGCGAGTTAGAGTGTAATCTGTTAATAAACTCCATTTTCTTTTTTTTAGAAAGTGGAGATGAAAGCAGATGATAGAACAAGTCTGAAGAAAGGAAAGGAGAAAATTTTAGTGAAGAAAATTTTTCCGTCGCTGTCAGTATTTCGAACCCGGGTCCTATTGAATGTGAGGCGAGCACCAAACCTCAAGACCCCCCAAAGCCCTTAATAAAATTAAAAAAAGACTTTGGCAATAGTATTATGATCATGACGATATCCAATTCACGTAAGAAGTGCAGTCAGAAATCCCTACCTCTGCCTTGCACTGGGTGTCAGGACACTCTCCCTCGTGACAAGGCTCATTACAAGGGTGGCCGCAGGCTGGCCGGGGCTTGGTGCAAAGCTGAGGGCACGGTGCTCCCGCCTTGAGGCAGCTATCCTGTTGGACAATTACAAGAACAATAACAAAAATAATAATGACGATAATAATAATAATAATAATAATAATAATAATAATAAAAGCAATAATAATAATAATAATAATAGTTTTTAAAATTTTTTTTAAAAATCACTTCCATAGCTGCCAACTTTTCAAAACATAAAAATCAGATTCTCTATACAAGATGGGTCAAGATGGTGAGCAGTGGACATGTAACCAACCTCCAAACTCTTCAGTTTTCTGCATGCAATAAATTCACCCCACCTTTTCCTCACACATCAATACGACCATAGCGCACTGGTTTACCCGTTCCCATTAGACATAGATAGCTGCAACCCCACTGTAACTCTCGCGTTCATCTCAGATGTCGCTGAAATCCATCTAAACAGAACACTGTTAAGCCATCAAAAATATAATCTCTGATTTTTTCCCCTTCTATTTGAGATACCTCTATAAACCGAAAATGCCGATGAGCCAAAGAAAATTCCTCAGCCACGGAGATTTTGGTTAAAGAGTACTCCGTTGTAGTTTACCTTTACCAAGAATTTACCGCAACAAACATCAACGAGAAAGACCTTACCTTGTGACAAGTCCTCAAGCACTTATGTTTGCCGCAGAAAAGCATCTTCTGACACGGGTAGCCGCAGCTGATGTTTGTCATATGACAAGGCACGTTTTTTCGCATCTGAAAATAATGCAAGTCAAAGAGGCCCTTAAACTCAGGCTTTTTCCTTTCCAAAGAGATGTGTCTCGAATTCTAGAAAAAACTTAGCCGTTGATGATGGGCAATTTAGCTAAAAGTTGGAATTCACTAAGTGAAACAAAAAATGTTACATTTCTATCCTATTTCTTGTACTGTAAATGCAGTAATTTGAAAATAGCTTTTATCTATTTACATTCAGCACAACCTTTAACCCTTTGAGCCCTGACCTCCTGAAGCTACCTTGCCCCTCTGCCTCAAATCCTCAGAGATATATAACCAACATCCAAAAGACCATCAAAATCACTTTCCATTTCCCACTCAAGGTAGTCTTAGTCATTACCAGCACCTAGTTCAGAAAGATCTTCAGAATAAAAACGTCCTGTGTGGTAAACACTGTTTTCCTTGTGCATTTTGTCTTAGGCTAGCCGGGTTGGAGATAAAGTCTCTCTCACCGGTGTACCGGTGGCTAGGTATACACGCAGTTTCATGCGCCACCGGTCTACTGGTTGCAAGGGGTCAAAGGGATAACCCCTTTGTAGCCTAATGACGCGCCTGGTATTTTGTGAAAATGCGTAATTTTTAGCTTCGTGCAGTACCACACACTCTCCTCCAGTTGGGAGAGATTTCCCTTTCCTAGTCCCCAATAAGATGTCGCATGTAAGCCATTAGGCCCTAATTCTTCAGTAGCAGCAGTAGTAGACGACAATTGTGGGAGGTAGGTGGGTGCTCTGGTGTGACCTGCTCCTTCTTTCCTATTAAATATCTATTGTCCTAATCACTCCTTTTTTGTGTTTGTTATTCTCTTGTACTTGTAACACCTCTAATCTCCGACACTCATTTGACCTTATTGTGTTGCACGTGCCGTAAAACTCTTACTAAAACAAGACTACAATAACCGATTTCGAAACATGAAAAGCCTCTCACCATGTGACCTCCCATACACATTCGTTCTGTCAGCTCGGTGCAGGGAGGGCAGCGCTCATCTGCGTGGCAGTTGTGACGGACTGAAACAGAACATTGAAACGTGTCGTTAACTAGACATGAACTCAACTTAATCTTCTTGTGACATCACAGGTGCCACACTCAAGGCCCGTGGGCCACATCCAGCCTGGCAAACAATTTTTTTCTGCCCACGACAGAATTCTTATCAGTCAATCTGGAGAATCTCCCCAGCACTCAACCTTACTCCTAACATAAATCAAATTTGCTGACAAGAAAAGATGCCAAAACCCCTCTAACAAATTAACGGAAAAGCGAAAATTGAGACGCCCTGACTCATCTTCATTTTAACTTTTTTTGGTTTTAATTCATATTGTTAGACAAGGGTTTAGATTTCCACTGCACAATCAGTGTTCATCCAGTTCTAAAATAAAACAAAAAAACTCCAAGTCACGAAGGGATTAAAGACTGTGGACTCACCAGGGTGGGAACATGCGTGATCCCTTGTACATGGTCGGTGACACTCGGGTAACTTTGTCCCACACGGAACTGGGGGCTCCAGCACCTCAGCACCACAGTAGCACGTCAGCTCATCAAAACCTGAATTGAGGCACAGGATCGCAAAAAGTTCCTTAACCCTATCTGTACGTCATGTTTTACTATCGTATCCATACGACGTGGGGAACTCTGTGCCACCACTTTCAAAGAGGAAATTTACTCGTTAATCCGATCCGTACGCTTTGCATAGCAGTCTGTCAAAATCATTTTTTTTTTCAAATACTGAAAGGTTCAAAGAGATCTTCGTACTAGAAGTATTCTAAAATGGGGGTACAAAATGACACCAGGGCGTACGGATAGGGTTAAATAATTATCAACGTTTCAAAAATAACTAAGAATAAGCCAGGTTTCTTGAGACAGAACAGAAGTTTGAAGACTTTTATTGCTCAAAACTGATTTACATTAATCCTTCCAAAAATGAATCAATAACACTTATCTATTTATCTCTTTGCCATTACATGATGTCTAAAAAAAAAAAAAAAGTAAAAATTGTCCAAGATAGTCATCTATTGTCCAGGAGAAAAGTGTTTGTCTTAGACAGGTGCATGTCTTTGACATAACATCATTATGATAAGAAAAAAAAAAACCAGGGAGAGAAGTGGTAAGTGATTATTTGTACAGATGACTGTCTTGAACAGACGTCCATTACAGCAGGTTCGCCGGTAATAACAAAAATCTGAATTTTGACAACTTTTTAAAATAGTTCTAGCTATTCTAAAAGCAGATCCATAAATACTTAGCAACAACATAAGAGTGGTCTGAAGATAGTTTTGAGATCTGGTTGACAAGAGAATACATTTTTGATCATTGAGAAACTGACACTATTCACTGTCAGGAAGATATGAGGAGCGCGTCATTGAGCAATGACGTAGCGGAATCATGACCAGGGCCCAACGACTAACACAGTATCAAACCTTTGACCACTCTATATCGTCGGTGTCACATGGCATCCATTTAAGTTTGTTTGGGTACTTTTTACAGAGACAAAAAACTATTTTTTGTAGCGTCTTTCCTATCAGGAATGGTGAAAGGCAAGAAAATTGTCAGCCTAGACCATAGCATTAAACTGCATTTTGGCGATGTTGAAAGGTGCATCTTTGATAGAGCATTGGGAGGTTATAAAAATTGAAAATTCTCAAAATTGAGACAAAAGTGGATTGCTTGCACCTGCAACGATATAATGGAGTCCATTTAAACCGACCACAGTAATTCTGAAAACAGTGTAAACCGAAAGAAAATACAATCCCAGATTATTTTCTTCTTCTTCTATTTGAGCAAATCCTCTAAACCAAAAACCCGGTGAAAAAAATCCCGCAGCCGCGCACATTTTTATTTGAGCAGACTCCACAGTATTTCAGGAAAAAAAAAACCCACGAAAAAAAGAACAAACAAACAAGGTAACAAAAACTTACTGGCTTGCAAGCAGCGCTTACAGTAGCCTGGGTGGCATAGTTCCTCACATCTGTGGTTCATACATGCCAGATTCTTTCCACATACGAGATCACAAATGTGAAAGTCTTTCTGCAAGCAGTAAAACAATGTTGTCAGGGTAAAGTCTTTAAAGAAACAAAGCCAGTCAACAAAATGTATGGTTTCTGTTGCCACTGTTCAGATTTTTGTTTAGCTTCATAAAACCTCAAAATACGTAGCAAAGGTTTATCAAACCAGGAAAATATCAGTGGTCTAGCTATAAGGCTTTCAGACTCAATCATGAGGTTATGGGTTTGAATCCTGTCAGGGGCCCAACACTGTGTTCTTGGGAAAGGTGCCTTACATGAAGTTACCTCATTTCACCCAGGTGAGAATGAGTACCTGGCTATATACAGCAAAAAAGTATGTCAGTTTGCTAGTGTTTTAGTGCATGTAATCCGCAGCGTACACTGTATGCTTCCCTGGAAGCATAGAATATTTCTGGGTCATATGCTAGGGTCTGCTGAGGTAATGATAGATATAAAGTGCATAGAGCCTGCCTTAGAGCGTGGATATGCCCTTTATAAATATAGTTATTATGAATATTTAGTTTCAAGTTACTCATGTTCCAACTTAATTGTGACCGTTTGTGAATTTTTATTGCATTGTAAATTCTTAGAGAATGCATTTCCAACCTCACTGCCAGACTGTTTTTCTCATACAAATTTTTACACATATACACATAGATATTACATATATATGCCTTATACTGTGTTTAACGTACACGCATGTCTATTTCTTAAAAGATCTGACGTCTTTTTCGATGTAATGCGCATTTAGCATTTTTTGAAATTTGAAATGGGCAGTATAAATGCTATTTATTAATATTATTAATTAATACTATTCTGTGAAACACAAGTCACTTTACCATACCAAACATAGCATGAAATAATGCGACAGCAATTGGGATTCAATTACTCTCTGTACAAATCTTTTAGTAGTAGTGAGTCAGCTACTGATACATGCAAGCTAAACATGAATACCATCCCTTAAACTGTAGCACTGCTCAAGAGTTTTACTAGCACTGTCACCTTAAGAATTCAACATTTCGCTATAAGATGAGCAAAAACTAAAAGTTAAAACTTGCACGTCATATTCCTTTACTCTCTCAGTCAAAGTAGGGCTTACCACACAACAAGTATCCAGGCATTTGTGCTTCCCACAAGACTTTTTCTTGCCACATCTACGTTGACACTTGAACGGGTCAACAGCTGCATAATGAATTCAGAAAAACTATCTTAATCATGCACAAAATTAAGTGCACATTCTTTACCAATAAGAGCAGAGTCAAAAAAGCAAGACAACCAAAATATGTGTCTTATCTAAGACTGCAGAAAATAGCAAAGATGAAAAATATCACTAGAATGAAAGTAGTAAAACATCTGCAAGCTGGTTAACTATTAAAAGCTTTTTTCGCCACGTAGAATTTTAATTTTAATAACATAACCTGACCTCACAGAACAGAAAAGCAATAATAATTAATTACAATAACATAATTATTATTACATAAACTTCAATTATTTTTTTTTTTTATTTCCAAATTTTGGGAGAGTTGAGACAATACTTATGTAAAGAGTCGGAGATGGTCACAAAAGCAAAGTTCCGGGAGAACAGGCGAAAACGTAAGTTTCCTTTTTAGAACAAATGACCACAATGACAATAAGTAGTATTCACCAAAATATCCTTCATAACCCTTGAAGACACCCCCCCCCCCCCCCCCCAAAACACAAAAAAAAAAACCACGCGACATTGCCTTGAAACTTACATCGTATTAATGAGTATAGTGGGAAAAAAAACTTCAGTAATAGACCCACCAGTATATGTCATCGCTACTGAACAATCCATTTCCTTCTCCACACCTCCACACACACATCTGAGACGAGTCTTCTTTTTGCACGGTCCACATTCACCCTCATGGCAGATTTTATCACAGAGATGTGGGGGCCCATCTGAGAAAAGACACAAAAGCAAAATCCTGTTAGAGCAGGAGCAAACATTATCCCTCCAATGAAATATGTTTGATCACCAAACCATGAAAGTTTTATTAACAGATAACACACTGGCATACTTAGTTTGTTCGGATGATATGTATACTATACACTGTGTTTTGAAAGTGAACCAATTTGACCATGGTCCACATTCTTTTTTTTTTGTTGGTAAGTGCATTATTTATTTTTTTTAGTACAGGTTTTACGGCACTCGCAACTGCATAAGGTCATATGAGCGCCAAGGGGTGGATGTCAACAGAGAAGTTCTTACAGGGAATTAGACTTACTCTGCTCACCTCTCTAGCTTCAACAGCACAAAGTTTGCTTCGACTATCAAGGCACCCTGGAAATAGCGGGTCATAAGAGTGTGACAAACAAACAAAAGAATTATAGGAAACCCTGTTGCAGTTCAGGCAGTTATGAGCATGACACTGAAGAATCAGCCAATTTACAATTACAATTCTACTGTGCATAAGAACTCGAGATGTTAATGTCCCCCCTTTTGGGAATGGCCTAAAGACACGTCAGTCAGTAGCACCGCTCGGGGGGAGGGGGTTAGCAAGTGCATTAGGTGATACGAGCGCTCTGGACACATTAAATATTTTCAGTTGGTAGGAAATTTTGATATGTCAACATTCAGCACATTGCCATTTTCCAAGGGCATAACACAAAGGATTTGCAAAATTCATCCTGTCGCCAAAGCACGAGAAAAAATTATCTACAAAAAATATTTTTACCAATTTATTAGTTATCTACATATTATATCAGGATTGGGGTCAACAACCTTAAAGATGAGGAGTGTGCCTCTTTCTCTGAGAGGTGCCCCTCCATCTCCTCCATTTGTTTTTGAAGGAGTGCAATCCTTGATAAGGCTTCTTTGCAAGCTATTTAATGAACTTTGAACTCTATGAGAACCACTTACACTGAGAGAAGCTATACGGGCCAACAGATCAACTGAGCAGGACGGCCCAATTTATGACAGATACCAGACTTCAAGAGTGATGCAATCGAGAAAAAGAGAAGACAGTTACACTGAACTGAGTAAATCTTTTTGGGCATCACTCACTTAGAGAAAAGTCAATACAATTCTACACAAACTACAGTAAGCAGGCCAAGCGATCACTCTAACAACACACACTCTGCCTTTCATAAAATAAAAACTACATACACATTAATGTTGCAAAATTGGTGGGACATAGAAAACTTATCATTATGTACAAATTTCACTATGTACACTTTTTAAAAACAAAGAATCTAACACAAAAGAAAAAAAAGGAAGGACCTGAAAATCTGCATGCTATATTCATGTTTCGTTATGAACATGTTCATTATGTGCGTGCTTGACTACATCACACATACACATACATGCAAATGAGACAGTTACCGAAGGTGCTTTGTTAGTACTTTTTTAAATTTTTAGTAGGAGTTTTATGGCACTTGCAACACAATATGGTCAAATAAGTGCCGAAGAATAGAGGTGTTACAAGAGAGTAACATACACAAAAAAAGGAGGAGAGACAAGGACAATAGATGTTTGATAGGAATAAAGTAGCAAACCACACCAGAGCATCCGCTAACCACCCACTTGTCAGTACTAACCTTTCACTGGGCACCCCAAAGGCAATTCACATGGCTTCTCACAAGTGGGCACCGGGTCCAGGCACGACTTTCTCTCCGCCGCCTTCAGCTGGGCGATGGGCATCTTGCCGCAGTTGCAGGTGGTCAGCTGCCCAGGCATCAGAGGACAGGGTGCACACTCCCCGGGGTGGCACAGCTCCTCACACGTGTGGTTGCCGCAGCTCAGCGTTCTGTTACGAGGGTAACAGAAAGAGAAAAAAACCCACTGACATCACACTTAACAACACAGCTCAGCGTTCTGTTACGAGGGGATGTGGAAGGAAACAAACCCACTGAAATAACATTTAACTACAGAGCTCTGTGCGAGGAAAAATAGAAAGAGAAAAACCCACTGAAATCACACTAAACAACACAGCCTAGAAAAACGGAAAGAAAAACACACTGAAATCACATCTAGCAACACAGCCTAGCGTTCCGTACAAGGAAAAACAGAAAGAGAAACACACTGAAATCACGTCTAGCAACAAGTATGTGAGCCATTCCATGAAAAGTTGAAAACTGAATGTGTAGTAACACAGTAACACAGGAATGATCACCTGCTCAAAAAAAAATCCCAAGCAGTGATGTAGCCATTCTATAATTTTTTATTTTTTTTAATCATTTTTTTTTTTTAGAGGATCATTGCCTGTTAGTGAAAAAAAAGCTGAGAATAGAAAGACATTTTTTTTGGTGTTCTTTTGTTTTTTCGTTTGCTGTTTAGAAGGTCTGACATTTACAAGGGATGTAGCAAGAAAAAAAACTCCTGATTCAGCTTATAAAAGATGGGGCCCAAATAAGAAAATAAATTCTCTCTTTACTATTCTAAATTCTTAAAACCTACTGCACACAAACAATACTGCACTAACATAAAAATGAAAACAAACAACTTCAAGAGGCAGAATGTCTAATCACAACAAAAGTAGAGCCAAAAACCAAGACAACAAAAGGAAAAAAGAGCAGTGACGTGAACAAATAGAATCTATTATTTGCTTAGCAATACAAACATATAATACCTTCCACAAGGTTTCTCACAGCTGAATGAAACCATCTTGAAGTTTTCTGTGCCACACAGAACCGTACGAGACGTCTTCGTACAAAAGCACTCTGAAACAATATTTTAAATGTATTTTAATACACAGCTATTTCACTCAAACTGTTTGTTAAACACCGATCATCATGCACTAACCACAAAATAACTTTCACAAGAAAATAAGGCAAAACTTCGCTCCGACTTCATAGCTACGTGTACAATAAACTTGTTCAATTTATTTGACAAATCAGTTTGCTTTCCTTTGAAAACCCAATTTTTACGCACTTAATACAGTCAAAATTGTCCAAGACGGCCGCCCATCTTGTCGAGGAGAAAATTGGTTGTCGTGAACAACTAGACATCTTGGACAGACAAGTGTCTGATTATAATATATATATAAAAACAAAGGGGAAGAAGTTCATAACAAGTCAGCATTACCGCCACCCTTCCCTAGACACAGGAAAAGACGAAAGAAACACTAAATAAATAATGACAGAATAACACGGTAGAACCTGATCCGACGGCCACCTATCTGAGAAAATCACCAGCACAAACCAGCCCTTCCTACTTGCCCATTGCATTTTTTTTCTATATGTATCACATAGCTATGGACGCAGGCGCTCGTCAACTTTTGGGCATATGGAGTTATTGATATCATCTTAATGCCTGTTCATTTGTCTTGCTCTTCTTGAAAAATATACCCATCTATCTTAAATAGAAGTCAACGTATTTGCGATTGATGGAGGTAGGGTCACCTGATGTCAGCAGTAGAATTAGCGAGAAAATGTCAGCCAAAGTTTGTGACTTCTAAACTTGAGTGTCTTTGAAAACTGCACATTTACAATTTTTGTGCCTTTGGTTGATGATTTTCAATAAAATCTACACAGAAATGTGTTTTTAAATGAACATAAAGTGTAGAGCCAAAATAAAATAAAATCGGAAGACAAAAAAATTGCACAACGGCCAAAAAAAATGCTGCTTTCTTTTGATTTCATTATTTTGACCGGCACCTGATTTCACCACTACAGAAAAGTGGGAAGACATGAAAAAACATCAAGAGGCTAGCCCAGGATAGAGAAAGGTGGAAAGTGTTTGTCCATGGCCTATAACCTGGTGCAGGGTAAGAAAGGCAATGATGATGAGGATTTCACCACAGTGCCTCACAAATGATAACGACAATGTCCAAGACTCCCACCTGCCAACAACAACCACTTTTCTCTCTGACAAGAGGCAGCCGCCTTTGACAATTTCAACACTGCCACATCACAGTACCCATATACCGTAGCAGTACTGGACAGACAAAAGTCATCTTGAAAAATAAAAGAGAAATCTAGCGATTCAACCAAAGAAAAGAGGAAATAGTCTTAAATCAAAGATTCAAAACTTTTACTCACCTTGTTGTTTTGAGACGGAGCAAGGCGCACAAGGTCCCGTGTGGCAAATCTGATCACATGTATGCTCTGAACAATTCAATGGCTTCTTACATACTTTATCACATTGATAGGCCTGGGCCGTAGAACAGCGGATGTGTTTCCTGAAGATTTAAAAAAAGCATGAAAACACCGGTAAAACTCACAAACAAGGCAGTCAAGGCCAAAAAATATAACTCTCTATATCTTTTGAATTGAGAACTGAAAGAATCAAAACATCATTTTTTTTCACATTTTCTTTCCAGCTTTCACTTTCAAGTCTACGACCTCACTAACTGGTAGTCATTAAGTGCATGAATCCATTTTTTAGGTCAAGACTTTCCAGAGCTTTTAAACATCAAACAGGTAAAAAGGTACATTCATACACGAAAGGTGTACCTTCAAATAAACAAAGTCAATTTAAATTTATCATACCACATCAATAGTACCAGCATCTGTGGTGTAGCAGTGAGGCGCTTCTCCATCACATGTATTTGGGTGAGGAGGATTTTTAATGAGTATCTTGGTCTTTCAGCTGGGATGTTGTATCTATCTCAGCTCAGGCTGACCCAGAGAGCCCCACTCTAGATTTATCTAAATTGTGTCGACAGGTGTAAAAAAAAAAATCACCTGCATTAAACAAAATTATTTTTTTTTAAATCAGCAGTCATTGTTTGACAAAAAAGTTCAAATCAGCAGCATAACATGACAAGTTTCCTACCTATCTTGGCCACAGTCACAGCTCTGCCACACCATGGCGCTGCAAGGGGGGCACGGGCCTGGATGACACAAGCTGCAAGAAAAGAAAAACACACAAAAAAAAAACATTCATATATAATAATAAACAATAATCATGATAGACTGATGTTTAAAAAACACTCTACACGGTTAATGAACACAGCCTCTGGGCCCTTTACAAATACAGGCAGAAACAAATCTTTCTGTCTGATCAATTGTTCATTGACTTTTTTTTTCTCTATCCTGTCTTACACACTTTTCTTAAAAAGACCAAAGAGAAAAAACACCAGTCTACAAGAGAAATACGTAAGCTCTATCAACACTACAGTAGTCTCCACGTAAGTTCCCACCTCTTATGATCCTAGTTCCCCTAAGATCACGCTGTTTTGGAAAAACATAATTTTTACTATATTAAAGTCACCCCTAAGATCACGCTCTGACCCGCACTGAAGGAGCTACATTCGACAAAGATCCAGCTTTTCAAGTCATAATTTACTTTATTTTTCTTTTTCAAAAAAGAATAAGAAACCTGAGCGCTGTCAGCTGATCGAGTAAGTTGCGAAAATAGGCGATCATTGTACGGCCCGCTGCATCACGGATCATTCACTCTCATGAATGCGGTCACACCTCTCTTGAAAATCTCGATAAGCGGTTACAATGTTTGCCCCAAACGGGATCGCACCAAGGTGTGAACTTGTCGGTGCCTTGCTTTCCCCGATCACCTCTGCCGTCCGCCTGATCTTACATCACCCACTAGGTGTGGAGGGCCTACAAGCACGCATCAGACTGCATTCTATCAATCTGTGAACTTGTGGACGCTTACGTTTTCCCGACCATCACTCTCGTCTTTTAGTTTTGTGCTCTAACTTCCTAGACAGACTGGTGCCCATACTCGTGGACTGTCCCATCGCCTTTGTGTAATGTGGCCATCTGTTGGCAGTGAACCTGTCTTTCATTTTTTTAAAATTTGGTCAGTGTGGTCACAACACAACGATTTACGATGCATCATGACATGGGCGGGGAACTCGGTTAGAGACGGAAAGCAATAAATTTTTGGTGGGGGCTTTGCTTGAAGCCAACTGGTTCCCACCTGACACAGTATTTTTCCACCCCCCCCCCCCCCCACCCCCAAACAACAAAAAAAGGAAAAACTGACTTCAGAAAAGAACTTTTTGAGCCCAGGAGTCACGTCAGTTCATTTTAAAGTAGAGGAAGATCATTGTACAGATTTTGGGCCTGACCATGAGTTACTGTGGATTCTTCCCCCTGGCCATTTGGCTAAGATCCCGGTTCATCTAAGATCCCACATTTTCCATGCTTCCGAGCACCGGGATCTTAGGCGGAGACTACTGTATTACGTCATTTAAGAGGCAAGACCTCCCAATTTAACGCTTATCTCCGAAAGGACAGAGCCAAACAGGAATATCGTGTAAAGTGCCTTTCCCAAGGACACAACGTCGGACCGAGCTGAGGCTCAAACCCCAAAACCCGCAACCTCATGGTCCCAGTCAGGTGGCCTAACCACTAGGCTACCAATGCCACTAATCTGCATGTAAAAAGTCATAATTTACACAACACTATAATTTTAACTCACATAGTACAAGGATGCTTGCAGTTGCCCTTGCGTCTCTTCTTGCAAGTTTCTCCGCAACTGTGGGGGGTCTCTCCTCTAATGTAGGCTGGATCTCTCCTCCGACCTTATAAAAGCAAAGACGAGAAAAATTCAATTATTGACAAGATCATTCCAACATGAGCTTTCAAACAATTTAACACAAATTGTATGTGTCGCGACACAGTGGAATCAGGCGCTAGTCAATTTTTGGACATGTGGATTTACTGGTATCATCTTAAAAGCTTGTTCATTTGTCTTGCTTTCGGGGAAAAAAATACTTGTTTATTTTTATTAGAAGTCGAGATATTTGCAATTGAAGGAGGTGGGGTCACTTTTTAGAGAGGTAAAATTGGTGGAAAAAATGACCGCCAAAGTCTGGTGACTTCCAAAGCTTCAGAAACTGCAAATTTACATTATTTGCGCCTCAAATCAACTTTTTCAGTAAAATCCACACAGAAATGTGTTTTTAAATGGACCATAAATGTGTTGAGTCAAAAAACAAAAAAGTGATAAAAGTTGCCAAACGAGGAGAAAAATGCCAGTTTCTTCAGTTTCATTATTTTGACACGCCTGATTTCACCATGCTGCCTCCCATATTATGCAGGCCGCAAAATGCTCCCTTGTGCAGACATTCTCAGGTGAACCTAACAAGGATCTGTGAGACATCCAGAACAGCATTTATGGCTACATCAAAACAAATATGGTACTTCCATGTCTTCATTTGAATGGAACCTTATAAGAGAATGACAAAACCATCATAGCATAGAATGAGACTTGTACATCAAATACACAGACTATATTTTCACATACTTCACGGCTCAATCATGTCCATTTCCTAAACCAAATTTACAGGTTTTACATGGAGTAAAAGCATTCTGGAGCATCAATTTCACAACACAAATGCAGACATGTATCACAGTGGTAACCCTCAAATTGCACACATCCTTAAAATAGTCAATGCATTACAAGCGAATAAAATATACAGATTCTAGTTTTTTATGTCATCTTGAAAGTAATGGAAGCAAATAGCAGACTCACCACAAAAGCAGCGATACTGATAGGGCACGTGATCTGTAACATTTTGGCATCCAGGACATCGCCAACTTTTGGTTTCTGAAGAAGAAAAAAGTGAACGTAACACAATGAACCATCACCTTTTTTTTTTGTTCAGTAAATTCCAAGAGATACCTCTGTATAATTTTAACAATAAATAAATTACCACAAAAGACATTAATAATTATATTGGACAATATCGTATTCTAAAATTGACCTTTAGCTCATTCTTACGACACAACATTTATCACAAAGCAAAACCCAATGAACTGCGGCAGTAAACTGCACAGAGCAATCAATGGTGCTGTACTCGTTTGAACCAAATGAACTACTGTTACATTTCCATCTCATCAAAACTTTTAAGAGAAAACTATTGGAACGTATAGCATCATGTCTTGTAATGGCTAAAACTAAAATATTTCCGTAAGGCTCTTTAAAGATAATGGACCCTAAAAAATGTGAGAGAAGTAAACATGTTTACACAACATTGTCATTAGGTAAACTATTTACTGTCAACTGCACTATAACACAGAAGATCATTTGTTCTGGACTTATTCAGACATCATAGTATAGCTTCTTACATGACAAGGCTCACTAGGGGCAAAGTTATCAATACATTTGGAAAACAATAGAAGACCCACCAAAATGTAAAAAAGAATACAGACATAGTCAGATCCAAAAGAAGTAATTCTTAACATTGGATTGGATGTTCTTTAAAAATTTGTTGTAAACTTTCGATTCTGATTTCCAACATTATGAAATACTTCGTTCTCTCTACTGGCTCCAATTTATTTTTATGAAAAGTAAAGTGCCCCCCATGACCTGCGTCTCAAAATATCACGGTCGAAGTGGAACAGACCTACATAGTGAAAGAGATAACTTCTCAAGTTTGTGCACAACATGAAAAACTTCAAGATACCTCTCTGCATGGACGAATGCGCCCATTTCTTGACACAGCTTAGATGAAAGACGTGGTAGCACTGCTGACAACTCCAGATGGCATCATCCACCCTCACGATGTCACAGCAAACCATACATTCGTATTTGTTCTGGCTCAATTGATCAGTCAGACTCCCTGAAAATTTGATGAAACGATATTATCCACTGTTCCACTGAAGAACAGCATACATCTTTCAAAATTAGGAACCAAGCTGAACAACATGGATATATACTGTCTCCAGATGCTACTTGGACACAGTAGTATGAAACTAAGAAGAATAAAAGCATTTTTCGTTTACCTTGCGACCCATTCAGACTCAGAACTACTAAAGCTTAGTGAAACAAACTTTAACTTTTAAACACTGATGCTCCTAACACAAGTCAAAAGCGATTTGAAAATAGAAGTACCTAAAAAAATAAAATGTTCCATAAACTGCAGCTGACTTTATTTAAGGAATTTAAAATATATATATATAAAATATAATAAGTATATTTACATATATATATATATATATGGCATACAATACTTTCTTAATTTCAATGCTAACAGACAAAACATGGAAGGAAAAGCAGGTGTACCTCTCTGACTTTCATCATTCGGTCTTGAATCATCTGTCCTGCCATTGAATGAAGTCTTGCTGCGGGTTCCACCTCTTCCAAAGTCACGACCTCCCCGTGCTGAGCTTGGGATGGATTTATTCTTTCGCTTTTGATACTGCTGTTTCAATTCGTATGTCTGGGGGTCTCTGTCCTGCCTCTCTGCTGAGTTTGTCTTCTCACCGTTTATTACGTTAACACCAGTTCCTTCACCATAGTGCCGCTGCTTTCTCCCAGGACCCTCACTATTCGCAAAGGCCACTGTAGTGCTTTTTCGATTCTTCTCAGAATCGAATCCTTTGGTTCCAGACACTCTCTTCAAGTCCACCTGTTCTGGGACATAATCAGAGACAGCACTCACACCATCAGGAGTGCTGACATCATCGTTTCTGCGTGCCTGCTGTTCTGCCCTTTTCTTGTTTCCATATTTCCCACCTCTTTCAAAAACATGTCCCTTGTCGGAATAAAAATCTTGCGAGTTTCCGTCTCCATTACCGATTTGATTGTAATTTTGTCTCGAGGAATAATCAGCATATTTGGGGCCACCTCTTCCTCTCGACTTCCTGCCCACATTTGAATTATAATGATGATTGTCATGATGATAGTACTGGTCACCGTTATAATAGTTTGTTTGCGATGAATCATGATGCTCGGGATAGTAGTGTCGGCCGTTACCATGGTCACGACCTCTGTTCCCACGCCCCCAACCATTTCCTCTACCCCTGCCCTTGCCCTGTTTTTTATCCCTGCCCCTGTCACTTTGGTACCCAGCCTCTTGGTGATGTGGGTAGGTAGACGACGCAGCATATGACGAACCATCCGTGTTTGCTCCCCCACTGCCAGATGCCATATCAGTCTGCATCTGCATGTCTGGCACATTATAGTTGGAACTTTGAGTGCCGTAACTGTTTGTCGAACGAAAGCCCTGTGGCACGTACACTTCACTGTACCCCTGATGAAAGCCATCCACCGGTACTGCTTGAGGGTAGTATCCTGTGTTCGTAAACACAGCACTCTGACCGTTGTGATACATGGGGCCCGGGACGGACGGATAATAACCCTGAGAACTGTTGTAATACATCTGTGCCTCCAAGTCAGACGCTCGCATTCCCGGAACAGTCACTGGCTGAAAAGTTGGAGTCGAATACTGCTCTTGCCAACTCATTCTGGTATAAGTCACTTTACCTGAGAACATAATAATTAATGATATAATATATAAAGTGACATGTCATTAAATTAAAAGAAAAACAACTGAGATTGTAGATCATGTTTTACACCGTTATCAATACAATTTAGAAGATTTAGAAAGAAGGGGCCAACCAGCACTGATGAGTGAGACACAACATGATTGGAAGCAACGTCCAAGCAGAAAGAAAGAAAATGCCTGAAACTTTTTTAAACAAGAATTGAACTCAAATCTACATGCCGCCGTGTTCTATGCACCTTTCCACTACAACAAACAAAATATTTAGTGTCATTATAAGTCCTTGAAACAAAATTTGAAAATGTTATAATATGAAAGGCCACAGAAAAGGCAAATTGAAAAGGATAGAGGGTACATACAGGAAGAAAGATGCCGTGCCAAAGACTGAGTCTACTGTCAAAACTTTCTCTTAATGCAGGAAATTTAAGCAGATCTAGATAGATCTAGTAGGCCATAGAGGGGAAATTATTATAGTTTGTGAAGACATTAAATAAAAATGTAAAAATCAGTGACCAAGGCGAGGGGCGAGGTTCAGTGTCAAAAACCTTGTACAACACTTTAATGTTGGCTATCTCTCCACACGACCACAGCCTGCCCATCGGCACGCAATCAAAAAGTTTGTATAGACAAAGAGTCTACATAACAAGAGGGGTCACTTCTCTCTTTGAGCCAATTAAAAAAGTGTCCTCAAAATTCGGTGGCGCCCTCTTCGCAAAAGCACACCTTTAGCGAACAGAGTTATCCTACTTGAGTTTAAAAAGTCAAAGTGAAACTAGCAAGTTTTTGAATGAATTTTGGAAGAATGCTTTTTTAAAATGGTTACGCTGACAAAAAACCTCTTCCGGAGGAAAGGGTGATTGTTTTCTTCGTTTAATTTGACTTTAGACTTTAGAATGAAAGGCGAGAGGTCATTAAAATTTTTAAAAACTAAAACTCCGTACTGAACGAACCCGAACTCACTGCTGATGAACAGCAGTCGATCTGCGCACGCAAGGAGGTGCTATTCCTATTCTTCTTCTGGAAAAACGAAAGAGAGCTTCAAAACAAACTGCAGCGCCATCTGAAGCAAAGAGCATACTTCCTGCAGACACTTTTTTGATGGCTGAGTGGCCCATCTTGTTATTTACTATCTTTGTCTTTGGTTTAGAACCACAACCAGAAGTAATCGTTGGTGGGGTAAAAGCGAGTATCCCTAAACGGGACCGCAATTGTACAGGAGTGCCCGCTTACCAATTGAAATAAAGCTAATTTGATGATGAACTGACGGCAAGGGTCCATGAAATCATGAAACGCAAAATTAAGAATACTGGCAAAAAAATGGCATCAAAAAGCAACGCACTCACACAGTACAGCTGTCGAATCTACTGAAAAATAACGAATTCACGTCGATCAGCAACTTTTATGTTGTCAAATATTTTATAATTGGACAAAGATCTACTTATCGAATCTATTTTAGGAAAATTAGTTTTTCTTTTCACCAATCTAAAGTAACGGCATTTCAGTGCATTGCACAAGCAAACTTGGTTGGAAGGAAGGCAAGCAACATTGGGCTTGGACCGAGACCCCAGAATTTTCACTCGATCCCAATACCAAGTCAAAATTTATATGTATGTGACTGCCATGCCACATCTTGTGAAACAACGATTGCAATGACAATAACACATATTGTTAGGTCAATTTTAAAAAAACAACTAAATTCAAACAATGGTAAAAATGCTATATGCTTTGATTGTTTCAGTTGCTTTGAAATATGCAACTATGATTTGATATGGCCTACATATTTAACGCATGGCATACTAAAACTGTAAAATATTTTCAGAAGTAAAGTCCGACAGCTACTACAAACATTATTGCTGCAGGTAGATATTTAGGTAGGCCTATAAAAGAATTAGAAATTACATCATTTTGTGGCATCGATGGAAACACAGTAATATTTTTATATACATTTATGAAATAGGGGAGAGTGAGGGGGCTTCTGGCATTTTCTTCTTCTCTTTTTTTTTTTTTTTTTTTACTTTTGAGTCCACCAAGGTTCAGGAATAATTCGCTATATAATGTTAAGCCAAAGAAAAAGGATTCTGTTATTAGTCATTACTTGGGTTTCACCACTTGCGGTGTCAGAAATTCGTGCATCATCACGGTGCATTACTCAAAGATGTCCAAAACTACCACTCGGTGGGAGACATGGGACCTATCAGACAAACAATTTACAGGGGAAAGAGGGGTGACCTGCTAAGACAATGTTTCATTTTTTGTAGGCTATCAGATATTATTTTGAGAGGCAAAATTTCGACACGACATAAACGACGGCTGTCCCACAGAAAACCGGAATTTGGCGGTAATTTGGAAACGTTTCAGTATTTTCACACTCTGTAAAAGCACACTTGCAAAACAATCATTATAGGAATTTCCCAATTGAGCAAAATGAGCATCGTACAAACAAAACGAACACAGCAGTTCTCCAAAGAAGGTTACCCCCTTGGAAAATTAGTCGAGGGCAGAAGTGAGGTCTGCCATTCGGTTTCTGACCGCAAAAGGTCTCAAACCTCTAGAAATACACACTGAAATAAAGTCAGTTTACGGGGCGATAGTAATGGCAAAGTCACAGGAGTGGTGTAGTAAGTTCAAAGCCGGGCATGCGGATGTCAATGACAAAGTTCACCCAGGGCCTTGTTTTTCTGCCAAGACTGAGGACAACAAGTGTCGCTTTAACGAAGTCATTCAAACAGACAGACTGCCTACAGCAGACACGCCAAGCAGCTCAATCGATTCCACCTGAGCTGTCTTCCTAAAATCCTACGCATCCGATGGCAGGACAAAGCTCCAGACACTGCTGTTTTAGAGCGAGCCGGGACCCCCAGTATCTGCACCATCCTCCACAAAATGCGAGCCGGATGGGCCGGCCACGTGATCAGAATGGCGGACAGCCGGTTGCCCAAACAGTTGATGTATGGAGAGCTGCTCCATGGCAAGCGCTCAGTTGGAGGGCAGAAAAAACCTTTCAAAGACTGCTTCAAAGTCTCTCTAAAGGAACTTGGAATCCTGAACGACTCGTGGGAAACGCTGGCCCAAGATCGTCCCGTGTGGTGCTGCAAGCTAACGAAGGGAGCCAAAGCAGTAAAAGCCAAGCGAATCGCCGAGGCCAAACAAAAACGCAACGTGCGCAAGTCTAGACCTGCCTCCACCACAAGTCCAACAACAGACTACCCGTGCCCACAATGTGTGCGAACCTTCCGAGCCGGGATAGGACTAATCAGCCATCTCCGGACCCACAGTCACCGTCAACAGACTAATTTGTGAAGTCATGGTCATCTTCATATGCGAAGGACGAACAACAAGTTCAAAGCCGGGCATGCCGATGTCAATGACACAGTTCACCCAGGACCTTGTTTTTCTGTCAAGACTGAGGACAACAAGAGTCGCGTTAACGAACTCATTCAAACAGACAGGCACCTAAAAATTCGTCAAATTTCCGAGTCGCTAAACATTTCAAAGTCGAATTGTCCATAGGATAGTTTTGATGAGCTGCACCGTCGAAAGGTCTGTGTTCGATAGGTCCCAAAAGAGCTGACAGCTGACCACAAGACGCAACTTGTTGAAGGGTCTCCGACTTTGTTGAATCGTTGTCGCCAAGCTGTCATGGGAGTCATGAACGCATCTGGAGACCTCCAACAATACGACGAAGCATTCTTGAGAAGCATTATTACAGGTGATGAGACTTGGATACACCACATGACCCCTGAGACGAAGAGGGATTCAATGGTTTGGAAGCACACGTCTTCACCTCCCCCGAAAAAGTTTAAAGTTCAGCCATCGGTAAAGAAACTCATGGCCACGGTTTTCTGGGATGCTAAGGGTGCTCTGTTTCTTGACATTCTGGAACCAGGACAAACTGTTAATGCTAACAGATACTGCCAGACTCTTGATGAGTTGAGAGAGGTTGTGCGCCGAAAAAGACCAGGTCGGTTGTCCAGCGGGGTTATTTTGCAGCATGACAACGTAACGCAACAAACCGCAAACCTGTCCCGCCGTCGTTTTATGCGAGAAAAATTATGAAATTATGCAAACTAAGCTAAAAAATGTGAAAGGTGAGAGGATGACCACGGGGGTGGAGGTTGTGGTTGGGTGGAGTGGGGGCGGATGGAGATCAATATGAACGATAGTCGGCCAGTTTCACAAACCATGAAGTTGCGAATCTTGTCTTATATATAGGTTCATTATAATACACTATCGGTACATGTACTGTATCAAGTCGCCTTTGACATTACTGCGTCTTAGAATACAAATCAAAAGCCAGAAGCTACTATGTGCATGTTCTCACGACATTCACTCAAAGATTCTCACAGCAGAAACGAACATGTACACAATAAACAAGCATAGATTGTTTAAAAAAGATAGCAACTCTTACGGGTTGTATTTCGCATGAGAATAAACGAGAGAAGTTACCGACACACCAACAAGTTGGAAGTGAGTCGTGCGCTTCGACATTCACATATAAGATTCAATTTTTTGTCTCACCGTGTAGTTAGGCGGAGACTAATTACCTACATCTGTGTAATATATAGCAACGCATATACCAGGTCTGTTGTCTATTTGAATACACCACACACGGGCCCGGACACACACACACACACACACACACACACACACACACACACACACACAAACACATCTAGGTAAATACATTCCTTTGAAGAGAATACATGTATACTTTTAATCATTATCACCAAGAGGTCATGAATAGAACTATAATTATAACGTCTTTGCATTATCGTTTATTCAAAGGTTCTCTACTAGGTCTAGTAGAGAATCGTCTCTGGTTTAATTTATAAGGCCATTTAACTTGTTTTTGTGCTGTGTTTGCTCGTTGTTGTGACGTTGCAGTTTTTTTTTCTTTCTCATGATTGTCATAGTCTTGGCTTGTACATGATATATGTTGCCAATGCCTTAAAAAATAAAACCATATTTGTTACTGGAAGCTGCTGCTATTTTTTGCAATATTTGACAAGATTGCCCAAGACTGTATTGGGGATTATATTCCATATTGGGAGCCAAATAAAAACCAAAGTAAAATAATGGCCAAATTATACTGATACCGTTTTATCTGGACATATAGCTACAACTCCTAAATTCAAACAAACCAAGGCTTGAAACAAACCCAGCTGCTTCGTTCATTGATTCTTAAAAAAGAGAAAACGAAAACAGCCAACGAAACAATAAAATGCATTTACGTTTTCGATGAAACTACTATTTCCTGAGAAAACAAACGGAGGAAATCATAAAAAAAAATAAGAAGCAAAACAACTCCAGAGTATCAACATTCGGCATTAAAATATTCATAAAGTGCTTTCATAAGAGACAATACACCAAGATTTGTTCAGGCAAACTGTGTCGACTTTGAAGAACAAGGCGAAAATTAGCTTTGGGCCTAAAAATAAATTCAACAGTGTAAACTGTTGACTACTTTTTATGTTGGCACAACGTTGTCCCCTACTTCACATTGATTCTAAACACTTTGTTTACTGTGCTTCCTTTTCTCCCACAAAGTACGAAACATTTCCGAGGTTTGCAAGGGTTTGGTTGACTTATTGATGGCCACAGAGAGCTCTACCAATGTACAACTTTGTGAAGAGAAAATCCACATCATGGACAAAATCAAGAAAAATGTTTCTGGGTATCACAAGGGAAGCCAACCCGTCAAAACACGAGGTGAACCAGTCGAACGAGCGAAGCACATCAAGTACTTCAAGAGAGTACTGAGTGTTTTGCCATCTCATCATCTCGATTCTCACAGGTGATGGTTCATAAAACTAGAATCGATTCTGGGTGTTTGTTAGTACGTTCAGTGCTTCCAATTTTCCGCCATTTTTTAGTTCCCCCCACACCTTATCTGCCGATCCAATGCCCGCCGCCTCATTATCATTGATACGCCTCTCCCCCCCCCCCCCCCACGTTTCCCACTTTCTTTGTTGTAGAAAAAGGTAAAATTGAAGATTAGCAGACCACCTGGCATATTATAAATGAGCTGTGTAAAAAAAAAAAGACCGATTCGTTCAAATACACTGCATGTGTCATATCGATTGTTTTCCAAGAAAAAGTTGTGTTGCTGTGTAGAGCTGAGCATACGGCAACTTTTGATTCCATAGACCAGCGCACAATTCATTACGTATTCATTACGTAGATCTACGTCAAGACTAGCTTATTATTGTAATAATGATCAGTTGCCAGGGGGAAAAAGACCGACGCTTATGCGACGTTCAAAGCCCGGACCGATAGTGCCCCCCACCACCCTCCCCGATACGCACACAGCCACACGTGTGCAGACCGCCCATCCGACCCCGACACATGCTAACGAGCCATATATTTAATTGCTTCTGATGACCTCTTGATAAATAAACATTTATTAGAAGCGCTATAACTTTTCGGGCCGGCCTCAAATTCATCATAAGATTAAAACTCGGCTCCTGCACAAAACGCCTTTTTGCCCGAAGTGATCCCAGTCTCTACCCAGCCTGAGGCGAGTCACGAGTGAGGCAGGACAGGAAGCCGGATTCACGAGTCACAGGAAGTCGGAAGTGATGTCATGCTGGACAAGAATCAGAGTCCGAATAACATTTTTTCATATTCGGACTCGAGTCCGAATGTCTATTGGTGTGGACGATCAAATTGACCAAATGAAAGTCAAAAAATGATGTTAAAACACAAAAGTAAATTAATTTGGTCATCTACAAAGATGCTACGGCTATATTTAACTTTTCGAATCGAGCCGAACTACACGGGTCGCCATTTTGTTTTGTCCCGGAAGTTCTCGTGCTACTCCTCTCTCTCTCTCTTTCTCTCTCTCCACTGCCCACAGACAAAATTGTACGCTTTTAGTAGGCTAACAGTAGTAATGGAACGTTTGTTCACGGCACATAATTCTACAATTTTTCTGTTATCACAGTTTAAAATTCTGTGTTTTAGGATGAACGCAAAACGGAAACGCAAGGTTGGCCTAGATCTAGATATACGGTGAACGCGCACCGGGTGAGAATAGCCAAAAGACTCGCCTGCACTATTCTCACCCGGGGTGAGAATAGAGGTGGCCCCCTCAATTACACTGAATGTAGAAATCTATGTTGAATTGGTTAGAATTAGATCCAAATATCTAGATCTAGAATCTAGAGATCTATGATGAATTATTAGTACCGTCAGCCAGCGAATCTTCACAAATGAACCATTCATCCTTTGACTGTCCGAGAGTAGGCTATTACCAACGAACAGTTCATTACTTGCAGAAATATTGTGAGCCTGAGCCAACATCCTGGCCTTTTGGATTGCCCCTCTTCTAATCTATCCTCACCCAGGGTGAGAAGAATACAATCAACCTCTCACCCCGGGTGAGACTTGCCAGCGTTGGCTATTCTCACCCAGTGTGAAACAAGACATGCTTTTCCTAATTTCGGAATGCTGTCTATCGGTGGGGACGATCAAATTGACACAAAGAAAAAAAAGTAAGCTAATTTGATCGTCTGCAAAGATGCTATGGCTATTAATTTCACTTTTCGAATCGAGCCGAACTACTTGGGTCGCCATTTTGTTTTGCCAGGAAGTTCTCGCAGGATCTACTCCTCCTCCTCCTCTCTCTCTCGGTGTCTCTTTCTGAATAGTCTGTCGGTTTGGATGATCAAATTGACAAAAACAAAGATAAAAAATTATGTTAAAACTCAAAAAAGTAAGTTAATTTGGTTGTCTACACAAAGGTGCTACGGCTATTTAACTTTTCGAATCGAGCCGGTCTACGCGGGTCGCCATTTTGTTTTTCCTGGAAGTTCTCGCACTACTCCTCTCTCTCTTTCTCTCTCCCCCCCTCCCCCCCCCCCCTGTCTTTCTCTCTCACTGCCCACAGACAAAATTGCATGCTTTCAACACAAGAGTGCTGGAACGTTTGTTCAAGGCACATAATTCTACACTTCTGTTATCACAGTGTAGATTTCTGTGGTTCTACACTGGCTAACGCCTAGGCTATCACGGGGAACGCACACCGGGTGAGAATAGCCAAAAGGCTCGCCTGCGCTATTCTCACCCGGGGTGAGAATAGAGGTGGACCTTCTAAGTCTAATCTGTTGTACTTAAGTACTACTAGACTGGCAAGCTAGCCGTACTTAATGACAGCTTGACAGCTAGCCGTACTTAAGGACGGCTAGACTGGCATGGTTGTCGTACTCTTGACTCTTGTCCTGCGTCTGTTATGAGATGCGAATCTTATCAGCAACCTATTACGTTGGACATTCCGGGCAGGCCGCCGGGGTCATTCAGTGTGTACAGCGAGCGGGCCTGGAAACGTGTGTTTTCGCCGTGAATACCGTGGGATTGTGGGTTTTAAAAAAAATCCCTTGCTCATTTATATCATGAGATTGACGCCATCTGATTAGTAGAAAAAAGTGCATTACATGATAGTGTCCAATAGTGTATTACGTGCATGCTTATTATAACAAATAACTCCTGTAATTTTTAATAGCAGATAGATTCCAGGATTATAGATGTAAGTCATTCATCTGAGACTGATGATAATTTTAGATATATAATGGTGGTGATGCGTGATGATATGGGATTGCGTTTTTATTAAATAGTTTTAGCATTAGATAAAGTCATATCTTCCTCTGCTCCAATGACTATGATACTATGTTTAATGTGCTTACATTCTTTTCCCTCAAAGTAACTTTTTCAGAGGTTTGCCAGGGGGCTCTCGTGGCCTAGAGGTTAAGGCGTTGGCCTCTCATTCAAAAGTCCTGGGTTTGAATCCAGGTAGTGACCGAAAAATTTTCTTCTCTAAAATTGTCTCTGTTCACCTCCTTTCCTGCTCTCTAGCAATGTTCTGTTGTCTGCTTTCGTCTCTTCTTTCTGACCCCCACCCCCTCACCTCCTTTGCCCCCTCCTCTGGGCTCCTGACTCTTTCTGCAGCCTTTCTACTGCTACTCCTTGGCTCCTTCTTACTGTTTTCTTTCAGCCACACCCCTGATCTTCTGGTAAGAAAGATCTACACTTAGCCTCCTCGGATAAGGGCAAAAAATCTCGGAGGGCCTGTGTGCAAGTCGCGTACGTTAAAGATATCTTGGTGGTCTAAAATCGATAAGAGTAGGCTTAGGCGGCTACCCGGGCAAAATTCAAACTTTACTACCAACTGAAAATGTTTAATGTGTCTCGTGAGCTCATATATGACCTTATGCAGTTGCGAGCGTCGTAAAACACTTAACAAAAAGAAAAAAAAAGAGAGGTTTGCCAGCCAGGGAGGATACATTGTTTTTATTATAACTTTGACTTAATTGATGTCCACAGAGACTTCTACTGGTCAGTAAAATTATGTACAACTTTGGCCCTTCTCCTCCTGATTTGAGAGCATCATGATCATGTGTATTTGTAAGTTCAGATTGAATTTGAATGTGAGCACACCTGCTTGAAGTGTGAATACTCTCAAAGACATTTATTTTTTAAATTGATTTCCCCACAGGGTGTCAGTAGCATTCTTTGCTATATCAGGTTTGGATGTCTTAGAAGCCATGAAGGAACTGTCTGACAGTAGAGAAAACATAGTGAAGTGGATTTACAGTTTGCAAATACAACCAAATGGTAAGGAATCTAACGATTTTTTTCTTCTCATGTCTCATTTGGTCATTGTGATGGATAACATAGGCTGCTGTTTAGATTTTGAAAATGACCATTCCTTGAAAAGAGACACGTTATAATAAAGAGAGGGTAGTCTGCTGAAAAAACTGTAAGCAATGAATAGAGACTTTCTTTACTTTTTCTTTAAATAGATATATGTCATGACAGGGTGGAATAGACTGGCACTTGTCAAATTTATGGGCTTATGGAGTTACTGGTATTGTCTTAAAGTTTGTTCATTTACCTTACTTTTGATGAAAAAAATACCCATCTAGACTCTTAGATAGAAGGGGAGATATTTTCAATTGAAGAAGATTGTGGTCGCCTGTTTTTAGGATAAAATTTGCTAGAAAATGGCCGCCAAAGTTTTGTGACTTACATATCTTCAGTGTCCTGAAAAAATTTACATATTTTGTGCCTTTGATCAACATTTTTACAGTAAAATCCACACGAAATATGTTTTTAAATGGACATACAGGGTGTTTTGATTACAAAAGAAAAAAATTGTCCGACAAGAGGAAAATTGCCCATTTCTTTGATTTCATTATTTTAATGAGCGCCCGAGTTCACAACAATGCCTCAGTTATTTTTATGTTAAAAGGCTGCGGTTATTAACAATCTAAGAGTGGAAAATAAATGGATACTTTTTAAAGATTAGCATTTTGTGTTTAATGAAGCTGCCATCAACAAAGAGCAGGCCCTTGTATTAAAATTAGTTACTTATTTCTTTGTTTGATTTGTATTTTATTTTGCTCCATCTCAGATACTAACCTGGAGCAGTGCGGGTTCCGTGGGTGTTCTACCCTTGGCCACGCTTTTGATACAGAAATTGTGAGTATACCAGTATACTTAACCGTTTTGAGCTCTGACCTCCTGAGGCTACCGTGCCCCTCTGCCTGAGCTCCTGAGCGATATATTTTACTCTGATTCATATCATTGTCAGAATCACATTCCATATTTAACTCAGGGTAGTCCTTGTCATTATCACTACTAATTTAGAAAGATCTCCAAAATAATCAACAACGTCCTGTGTACACGGCGCACCGGCAGTGGAATTTTAGTTGCCGCGGGGGGTTCCCCGCCGGGCGCCTTATCACGTCGGGGTCACGGGGGTCAGCTCCCTGTCGCCGCTCTGTCTGGGCCGACCTAATTTTTGGTACTTTTCAACGTACAATTTAAGGTGTTTCCTTGTATTTATGGTAATTTTCGTTTAGTGCATCCAAAGCACGCATTTCTGCTCTTGAGACTAAAAAAAGAACGGACGTTGTAACTTGTCTGGTTATTTCGTTAGACGCGCTGGAGTCGGCAATGCTAAATTGTAATTTTTTTTTGGACTAGCGTGAATGAAAAAAAAATCAATATAAAAAAAAGGCATTGTCAAAATTTGTCGAACTTTTGGAACATGAACAACATAACTTTGGTGCAGATACTCAGAAAAGATGGTATCTGCGCTTATAATAGAAGGCTGTAATTTTACAATTTTATCCATCGGGCACACAATTCTCTATGAAGTAATTCCTCCAAATACAACTTTATGTGTCTAATATAATCGTGAATATTCGCATATTTTCTCGAAAGTTTATAAAAGTTTCTATGAAGTTTCTCTATGAAAAGTACAAATCGATTTTAGTGCTAGAATACATCTTCAACGTAGATATAATACACGAAGAGTATCCGTTACACTCCAGAAATTCCTTACTTTCCTTAAAACGCTAAGTCTAGGTTTTGTAAGTTGACTGAATAATAAGGATGACTTCTCGTAATTGGGTTATAAGAATAATTTCTAGCTTTCCAGGGACACTGAATCAGCACCAGACTTTTCCAGCTTTTTTTTTGTTTCTATGACCATTTGAAATAACTGACAATGTGACTGATTTCTTTACATTCATAATTGTGTCCGCGCATATTTCCTTCACAAAAACTAAGAATGAATGTTTCAGCTGTCATTATTTTTATTCCATACAAGAAGTTTATCTCTACCCATATATTTACACGGTTTTGTGTTTTTTTAAATCGCCTATATTATATCTTTTTAGTTGTATGCTGGCTGCCACAGACACAGCATGATTCATGAACAAACGCAGAGTAACTTTCTCTTGTTTAATAGTAAAATAAGAGCTAACGCTGATCGTTTTTAGTTAAAAAATGCAGATGTGCATCTTTCTTCTCTTATAACTTGACTATTACTACTAGCACAGATTTAAGATTTTCCATGGTAAAAGACATGATATTCGTAGTCAGTTTAACACAGATTTTGGAGAGATCTGTAGTGCCTTCTTAAAATTAACAATCATTTATTCATAAGTTTTAACTAAAATAGGACAAATTGGGTACTCTACAAACACTTGTCTAGAGCAAAAACTAAGGCACAGAAACTAACCATTCTAACGCAGAATAAATCTCAAGACATTGAGCTTTTAGTACATCCGCGTAATGGTTTGCTATGTGGGATGGGGAAGAAGTTATATCATTTTAAACATAGTCAAAAATGCGAACTTCCTGACCGACAGTGGCAAAGTTGCTTCAGGGCTCATTAACCCCGTGACCCCGAGCCGGGGAGCTCCGGCGGGCTGCTGAGTCACGGGAACTAAAAGTAACAGAATCGGGCGAAAAGTGACGCCGTGTGTAGTAAACACTGTTTTCTGTGAGCGCGTTTTGTCGTAGACAGGCCGGGTTAGTGATAGGGTCTCGTCGGTGGCTAGGCATAAGGGCAATTTTACGGGCCACCGGTGTACTGGTGGCCAGCGCTCAAAGGATGAAATTAAAAAGTTTAAGGACATTGTCTTTGGTGTCATGCATCATAAAGACTTCAGTTTGATGTACATTTTGGTATTGTGTCTTAAAAATTTGCTTCCGGAAATGATTTACATACATTTGAATATGTAGAATAAGATATTTGTTGTCTCGATTTTTGAAAAGGTAAATTTGTGTAATGTAAGTTCATTGTACATTGCGATTTTTTGGGGAAAATGTGTCTTTTTTTTGGAGCTTAGTGCATTCATTACTTTCAAACAGCTCTGGTCATTTAGCTATAAAACAATAAAAACCAATATCCTAATATCGTTTTCTTAGAGAAAATATGTAAATTGAAAATGAAAAGTATTTATGGTTGATACCCCACAGTGTTATCATATTTCCACTAAAATGTATCTTCCACTGTGTTTTAGGACTGAAAGAAGAAGAGACAATGGTAAGCCAATTCAGTTGCATAAATTCTCCTTGTATCGTATGAACATTTTGTGAGATGGGAAGAAAACATATATGTCACAACGCGGTGGAATCAGGCGCTCATCAATTTTTGGGCATATGGAGCTATTTTTTTCTTACAGCTTTTTCATTTCTATTTTTTTTTCATGTTCATTTATCTTGAGTTTAAGTCAAGATATTTACAATTGAAGAAGGTGGGGGTCTCCTAGTTTCAGAGGTAAAATTACTGCCAAAGTTTGGTGACTTCCACAGTTTGAGAGTCTTTAGAAACTAAAAATTTACAATTTTTGTGCCTTTAATCATCGTTTTTTCAGTAAAATCTACACAAATATGTTTTAAAATAGGAGTAAAAGGTGTCGAGCTAAAAAAAAAAAAAAAAATTCAATAGAGATCGCCAAAACCAAATTTTACTTGATTATTTTCTTAGAGGGAAATGAGTGTTCTCTTTAATAAGGGAGCTGGAAGGCCTCTTTTGTCAGATAAGGTCAAATTTTGAGGCAATTTTGCTGTTTTATTTTCAGCTTCTCGGGTATCATTTAGAATGACATGATAAAGCCCATTTTTGTGAAATGAATGATACTGTAGTGAGTGAGATGTGGTTGTTTTTTTTTTCCCTCTTCTCAGGCTGCCACCCAAGACATTCCCTATGATAGCAGCAACATCGCCATGACATACACCGCTCTAGTCTCTCTGTTAATCTTGGGCGATGACTTGTCAGGAGTACATAAAGAGCCAGTCCTTGCAGGGATTAAAAGTTTGCAACAGGAAGATGGAAGGTGATGATGTATTGAGATTTTTTTTCTTCTTCTCTTCCTCCTCCTGTTCCATCTCCTTCTTCTCCTCCTAGGTGTCTCAGTTATTTAACTTCTTTTTTTAAAATGTAGGTCTGTTTAACCCCTCATGGATAAAATTTAGATAATCTAGGAGGCGGGCTTCGATTCTGCCTTTCGAGCTGAGAGGTGAACAACATTTCAGTAGAAAGATTGAGATACAAGGGACAAAAATTATTCCCTATTGTGAATCGAACTTGGGTGTCTTGTGTGTACTGAACCGCTACATCACAGACATTGTGTAACTTTTTCATATGACGGTCAGGACGATTTATGGATATTTATCCTTCTTGGGTGTCAGTTCCTGTTTCAGCTACCACTTGTTGACAGATTTTGGAGTGGATGCTTCTAATTGACTGATGAGAGTTTCTGCATTTTACTTTTTCCAAGAGATTGAATAGGTACAAGAAACTAAATTTTCAAATTAGCTGTATGCCAAATTTATCTGTTTCATATGAAAGGCCTATATCTCCGGAGAGTTTCTGCATTTTACTTTTTCCAAGAGATTGAATAGGTACAAGAAACTAAATTTTCAAATTAGCTGTATGCCAAATGTATCTGTTTCATATGAAAGGCCTATATCTCCGGAGAGTTTCTGCATTTTACTTTTTCCAAGAGATTGAATAGGTACAAGAAACTAAATTTTCAAATTAGCTGTATGCCAAATGTATCTGTTTCATATGAAAGGCCTATATCTCCGGAGAGTTTCTGCATTTTACTTTTTCCAAGAGATTGAATAGGTACAAGAAACTAAATTTTCAAATTAGCTGTATGCCAAATGTATCTGTTTCATATGAAAGGCCTATATCTCCGGAGAGTTTCTGCATTTTACTTTTTCCAAGAGATTGAATAGGTACAAGAAACTAAATTTTCAAATTAGCTGTATGCCAAATGTATCTGTTTCATATGAAAGGCCTATATCTCCGGAGAGTTCCGGTACCTTTCTTTTACCCCTCAGTCAATTTTTAAGAAAATGGTAGCTGTTTAGATATGATCAAATATTACTAAAGTCGCTAACTGGCTGCAGGAAGGATTGATGCGAAATAATTCCAAGCCGATTACTTTACTCTTATAGAAAATGAAGTGATATTTCTATTGGTACCTTTTCTGAGCCGGTTTTTTACGTAGTTTGTGTAAAAAATGATCTCTGAAAACTTTGAGGGTATTTTTAAAGGCTTTCTATTTAAATGCTAAAGGCCAAAAATAAGCACTGGAAAGCCCTTTCAAAACTCTATAGTTCTCTGCCTATGAAAAGACGGTATTTAATTATCAATCTTCTGCGAAGCATTTGAATGCACGTGTGTAAATTTTTAAACCGGCGAACCACGCATTCTGTCCGCGTGGGGCTTGGCTTTCCATGGCGATTCTCCAGCTTCAAATAATTGGATGTATAAACAACTTTCACAATTATAACGAAGAAAGCTTAACTTTTACAAAGTGTACAGCATTTGGTATTTTATAGTGAAAGAGCAGAGAAACAGCGATCTGAGCTAAGCTGACCTCTGATCTTTTTCAATCTTTCATGGATGAAGCGTCTTTGTCATGCAGAGGGATCGTCCAAGTGTTCAAAAAGTCACTATCAACATTTTTCATACACAAAGGTGTATTTTCCCTGTTGAATTACTTGCAACTACAGTGTTGACAGTTGGCTGTGTTTTCCTCCCAAAAATGTAGTATTTCTATATCTTTTTTTGTGAGTTTGAAATTCATGAGCATACTGTTTATTTGAGCAAGTTTTACAGTACTAGTAACACAAATAGGTCATATAAATGGCGAAGATTAGAGGTGTTACCAGAGAGTAACATACAAAAAAAAAAGGGAGGAGATAAGGATGATAGATATTTGATAGGAAAGGAGGAGCAAATCATACCAGAACACACATTAACCACCCACTGAGAATGCTGCCTGTGGAATAAGTTGTTGGATGAAATGATGAGCAAAAAGGAAATTGCTTTTGAGGTGAAACTTTCTTTAAGATTTGTTTCCTGCCTTTCAGGCAAACTCTTAAAGTGGGTGGTTGGTGGGTGCTCTAGTGTGTTTTTTCTCCTTCTTTACTATCAAACATTTTTTGTCCTTATCTCTCCTCCTTTTTTGTGTTTGGTTACTGTCTTGTAACACTTCTAATCTTCGGTACTTATAGTCTTATTGTGTTGCAAGTGCCAGAAAGCTCTTACTAGAACTAAACGAAGAACTCTTTTCTGACTGTGTCTAACAGTCCTGATGAATGTCTCGTTCATCCTTTGTTTTTGTGGGTTTTTTTCCTCAGTTTCATATCGGTATTAGAGGGCAGTGAGAATGACATGCGTTTTGTCTACTGTGCTTGCTGCGTCTGCTTCATCTTAGACGACTGGAGTGGCATGGACAAAGACAAAACTACTTCATACATTGTGCAAAGTCTTGTAAGTTATTGCCCCTTCCTTTCTCCAGTGTCGTATAAAAGCTTTTCTGAGAATTTGAATAAGAAAGTAGGTTTTACCATCTCAGGAAACAACTCAAGGTTACTTTGATTTCTAGTTTATCGATTAAAGAGGTTGTTGGTTAGTTCTCCAATCCATTTTTTTTCTTCTGTGATAAACGTCTTCGTTACCAGTCCCAACTCTTTAGATTGTAGGTCCCGTCAGTTTGATATAATAACAATTTTGAATCACATTTTTGTTTATGCAGATATTCTGTTTTGTATTCCTTGTATTTATTAAATAAATGATGTTAAATATTTGACTCTTGCTTTAGCTGTTTGTTTTTAAAATTAAAATTTTTTTTTTCATTTGATTGAATCTGTATATGAATGTACCAAGCATTGCTGAGGGTCTTTTCTTCTCTTTCTTTTTTATCCAGTCATATGAGGGAGCATTTGGTCAGAGACCTTTCAATGAAGCTCATGGTATGTATAGCGTAAATGTTTCCAGTTGTGCTGGATTCGATGGTGTTATCACTGTTTTCTCTTTTTCAGTGCAAATTTGTTTTAAAAGTTATTCAGTAATGCTTTTATTCTCCCTTATTTTTAGGTAATTGTTTTTTGCACTGATTTTAAACACTTACACAGTGAATGATTTGTTATTTCTTGAATTTCTTAACTCGTCTGTTTTGACACTTTACAGAAATAATTTGCTTCTGTTTTAGAAAACTGTAAGTAAAATCAGAGACCTTCATAATTTTTTCTGTTTGTTGAACAACAATTTTGACACCTTGGGTTCCGAGTGACTAATTTTGTCGTGAATATAGTTGAGCCCGCTCTAACAGCTCCCTGTGTAAGACAACCACCAGTACAAATGTCCACTTTCCACTTCCCCCTTGTCATTTTTTTCTTTATAATGATACTGTCCAAAACATCCTCCTGTCTAAGACAACTGCTTTTCTCCTCAACAATGGGTTGCTGTCTTTGACAGTTTCGACTGTGCTTCCTCCAAAATAAAGAAAGTTCACACAGCTTGTAACAGGAATATCGAATCTGTTTATTTTTTACCTAACTGAGGAGAATAATATACAGAAACGTTCATTACGTACTTAATTGTAAGCATTATTGTAGTAAGCCTTGTTTACGTACCTTGTACATGAAAAAAATCAAAGTTTGCTCACCTTGGTTTCTACAGGCGGCTCAACATTCTGTGCCGTAGCTTCCCTCTACCTCATGGGTCGGCTGACCACGGCGCTCACTGAGCGGCAGCAGACGCAACTGAAGAGATGGCTGCTCCGGAGACAAGAGACTGGCTTCACTGGGCGGCCGAACAAGCCGGCAGATACATGCTACTCCTTCTGGGTGGGAGCTGCGTTACAGGTCAGCGAAAATTCTTGAGCGAGGAGTGTATAGCAGACCTGCCAAGTGCTCCGATAAAATCAGGGCCCTCCGTTTTTTGGTTTTTTTTTGCTGATGGAGGAACTCTGATCGAATTCGCTTGAAGTCTTTTTTTTCTTTCAAATTTTGTTTCCTTCAGTAAAGGAACGTTTCATAAATGACATGAAAATCCTCATATTTCTTTGCGTTTGTTTGCAATATTGGCGTGACTTATTGTAAATGATGTGAAAATACCCATTTTCTATTGTGTCTCTTTGTGTGTGTTTGCAATTCGCCTTTATAGGCCTTGATTAGTTTGTAACACATCTGAATTTACAAAGGTTGTGGAGACTCCGATTTTTTCCCCCAAACTCTGGTTATTAGGGAGAAGTCTGAGGAAAACTTTTGATTTTTGGTCAATGAGAGGTTTTCAAGTCTGGCGTAGTCATGAGTATTCCCGCCATTTTTGACAGGGACAGTTGTACAGTCATCTGATGAATTCAGTTGTAGTGGGTAGTTGGCGGGTGCTGTGGTGTGGTTTGCTTCTTCTTTTCTATCAAACATCTATCGTCCTTATCTCCCCCTTCTTCTTTTTTATGTTTGTTACTCTCTTGTAACGCCTCTAATCTTTTGGCGCTCATATGACCTTATGCAGTTGCGAGCGCCGTAAAACCTCTACTAAAACAAAACAATTCAGTTGTACTGTTTGCACGTCTGGTTTTTTCCTTTTCTTTAAATAAAATTTTGATAAAGGTCATGTGAATGTTTTTCTTGGTTTAAATCTTGACTGTGGGTACGTAAATGTCACATGATCTTTGTACTCGAATCGTTGTGTTTCTTTCTCTGCTTTTCAGATGCTTGGCATGTTAGATCTCAGCAATGTTACCTTCAACAGATCTTTTGTACTGAGTGCTCAATCCTCTCTCACGGGAGGACTTTCCAAGTACCCTGATCACGTGCCAGGTAAGTATTATCGCAGTCATTAAAATGTAAAATATACACAAGGGAGGAAATGGGAAGTGGGCGTTTGTACAGGTGATCACCTTGAACAGGTGGTCGTCTTATACAGGTGATTGTCTTATACAGGTGGTCGTCTTATACAGGTGATTGTCTTATACAGGTGGTCGTCTTGTACATGTGATTGTGTTGTACATATGGTTGTCTTATACAGGTGGTCGTCTTATACAGGTGGTCGTTAGAGCAGGGTGGACTGTATTTTATGACTAGTGCAAGTTGCACCTCTTCCCCTGCTATTGCTATCTGCTGTCATTAAACGTGTCAGGAGGTAGTGGAATCAGGCGCTCATCAATTTTTGGGCATGTGGAGTTATTGGTATCATCTGAATACTTATTCATTTGCCTTGCTTTCAATGAAAAAAATGCCCATCTATCTCAAATATAAGTCTAGACATTTTGCAACTGGAGGAGGTGAGGTCTCCAGGTTTCAGCGGTAAAATTAGCAAGAAAATGGTCGTCGAAGTTTGGTAATTTTAATAGCTTGAGAGTCCTTGAAAACTTAAAAAATTACATATTTTGAGTTTGTAATCAAAATTTTTCAGTAGCATTCACATGGAATTGTGTTTTTCTGTGTACGTAAAAGGTGTTGAGCCAAAAAACAAAAATTCAATTTAAAAATTGCCAAAGTCACTGAAAAATGCCAATTTCTTCAATTTCATTATTTTGAGGAGTGCCTGATTTCACCACGCTGCCTCACAAATATTACTTCACCAATGTCGAAACTCTTTCAGAGATAATAAATTGTTAAATGTAAAAAAAAGTTTTCAGCAGTTTTGTTTGACAACTTTGGCTGACAGATAACGACAGATGGGGTAAATGTGTGATGAGGTCTGAGGTTTCTTCAATCATAGAGAAATTGGGCCCGACGTTGTGTCCTTGGGAAAGGCACTTTACACGAATTTTCCTCTTCACCCAGGTGGGAATGGATACCCGGCTATAGACAGCGAAAGATCTTGTCAGTTTGTTAGTGTTTGAGCGCTTAATCAGCTGCTTGCTGTGTATGCTTCCCGGGAAGCTGAGAATGTTTTGGAGTGTTCTATGGTCTGCTGGGGTAATAATATAGTGTAAAGCGCATAGAGCCTGCTGTTGAGCGGGGATATGCGCTATACAAATGCTATTTATTTATTATTTTTAATTATTTATTATTATTATTGAGCAGAACCCAATTTTTCCTGTTTTCCTTCCTTCTGTATTGTCAGTACCCTCCACAGTCTTGGAAAAAGAGAGTACATTCTCATAGTAGTGTGTCTACTCATCAGCAGCAGGACTTGGCGTGACCTCAATGCTGATGGATAGATACGACACTCAAAGAACAGATGTTAAGGGCCTATTACACGTGCAGGCCGACCGGACAGGTTTCTAGGCCGTACGGCCTATCGTAATGTGTAATAAGAAATGCAGCTCAACCTGTGAAATTGACGTCCAGCCATCCAGCCTTTGAAGTTTGCTGCGCCGGGGACAACTGAACTAATTTCAAAATTATAGAAAATCACATCGTAGATAAAAAATAATACGATTCAAAATCAGCGTATCAAAATTAGGGAAATGGCTCGTGAGTGACTTGTTTCAGTTTGTATGTAGGATTTTCCATTCCAGCACATTTCTATGTTTTGCGCGCCATGGTGCACACACGTGTGTGAAGTGTCACCCAGACTGGGCCTAGTGTGTAGAATATGTTGCTCGCAAGGTGCGGCCGCCTTCAGGTCGATTGTGCCGTGTAATAATTAACCAAGTTTCCTCAATTTCGTCTGAACGTACGGCTTGCCAACGGTAAAAAACTGTCCGGTCGGCCTGTACATGTAATAGGCTCTTTACTATTCCTTTATTCCTTTGTCAGCTTGCTTGTTAGTCTAGAGGTTTTAGTCAAAACATGTTTGCTTCTTGTGCCAGAGTACTTGCTTTGCCCTTAGTTTTTTGTGAGCATTAATGGAGAATATTATGTAACGCATATCCACGCTCTATCAAATATCTATCGACCTAATTGCTGCTCCTCCTCCTCCTCTTTTTTTTTGTATGCTACTCTTTAGTTACACCTCTAATCTTCAGTACTAGTTTGATCTAATTGTGTTGCAAGCGCCATTTAATTAATTCGTCGGTCATCTCACGAAGTGTCGTAACTGCATTTTTGGGCATTTTGAGTTATTTATACCATGCCGATCAGCTTGACGAGATCTTTCTTCTCTCAAAGCGAAAAGGTGCTATCTTTACTAGTTTTTGAGTTATAAGATATCCGTGTTACGTCGTATCGTAAAATCAGGACGTATCCAATCTCACGAAAAGTCGTATCATATCATACGTCACTTCGTGAGATACAATAACAATATACTGCTCTCTCAGTATCGGTCATTGCCAATCTCACGAAGGGACGTATCTCTATCAACAGTATATTGACAGTTTCATATCCATTGGCATTTGGCCTCTCGCTGCCCTTAAACTTGCAAATGGGCAATCTGGCATGAGGCAGTGGAAGTCCATGCCGCCATTACGCACGTAGTCTTGAAACTTGTTTACAGAAACTGCGATTTCTGCTGAAGCTCTTTAAAAATGTGGGCCTTTTACCTGAAGTTATCTCTAAATGCCAGGGTGCTACTGCTGAGGAGTCTTTTGAGTTTGACAATTGTGACACTGATCCATCATTTCAACTGGGGCTGTGTGAAGCTAGGTGTTGTAAAGAGGAAGTTTTTGCAGCATGTGATAGGTGTGATGCTCTTTTATGCCATGATCATTTTGTGGAGGACACAAATGTGTGTGATCATGACAAGAGGAAGAAAACAGAATCCACCAAGAAAAAGAAGGAAAACAAAACAGAATTGACAAAGAAAAAGAAGGAAAACAAAGCACTGAAAGAAAATGGAAAGGCGACTGAATCCAGTGAACAATCAGAACATTTTGTTCGTGAAGACCCACTAAAAGAAATTGCAGTAGAAAAACAGCTACAAATTAATAAGCAAAAGGCAGCCAAGAGAAAATTGGCTTCAGGTGAATATTATTTCAGCCCTTATACAAAGAAAATCATGCCTGCGAAGAAAATGGGGCAAGCCTGCTTAGGCGCTACGTGCAAGAATAGAACACTAGAGTGATATAATCACAGAGTCATGGAGGAAAGACATTTCCCAAGAATTCTATTCACTTGCAAGCCTCCAACTTCAACGTGAGTTCATTCTGCGCCATGTAGTGAACAGTGACAAGAAGAAAGAAAGCTTACACCAAAGTCGGTGCCAGAAGACCAATGTATATTACCTGACTGCTCAGGGAAGCCTTGTTAAAGTTTGCATAAAATTCTTTGCAAACTTTAACAAGGCTTCCCTGAGCAGTCTATCTATACGGCTATCAAACAGAACAGTGAGAACAGCCTTCAAAAAATTGACACCCAGTGGAACAATAGAGAAAGAAAGAAGAGGTGGTCGGCAGTCAGCTAAAATTGTTGAAAGAGACACAAGAATTTGAAATGACATTGAAGAGCACCTGCGGCGGTTCCCAAGGATGGAGTCGCATTATTGCCGTGCAAGCAATGCAAAGGAGTATCTGCACCCAGACCTGAACCTTAAAAAAATATACTACATGTTTCTAGAGCAGTTCCATGGGACTGACCCTCCAAGTTTCGATACGTACAGCCGAGTGTTAAAAAAAAGCAAACTTGGCTTTCCACACACCCAAAAAGGACCTATGCTCACTGTGCACAACGTTCTTTGAAGGGGATGAAAAACAAAGGCTGAACTCAAGGACGCATTCTAGAAACATGTCTCTGAAAAGAAAAAAGTAAGAGAAATAAAGGAGGAATGCAAGCAAGGGGCATCAAAGGATGAAACAGTTCTGATTGCTACATTCGATCTGCAGCAAGTAATCTATCTTCCCATCTCGAATGAAAGTGCTTTGTTTTACAAGCGGCGCTTCTCCAACTATAACCTGACTTTTTATAACCAGAGTAAAGCAGCCTTACACCGTGATACCACTTGAGTTCTCTGACTTCTGAAATTTCAAGCAATTGTCACTCGACCTGCGTGTTCTGGGAGTTCAAAGAGATTCAGAGAGTAACACTATCAACTGGAACAAAATGATGGAGTTCAGAGTTCTGAAGGAGTGCCCAACAACATTCTGCAAAACCAGCCATATTGAGTCAGAGTACGGAACAATCCAATTGAAGAGACACACAAAGCAAACCACAGAGAGTTTCACTCTCTTCAAACTCAACACAGAACATACCAAAGTTCCAATGGCTAAGTTCAATGACTTAGTGTCGCTCTGCTCTGGCGTGGCGTAACGCCAGTGGTAAGACAAGCTGATCACAGGGCTTTCTATTTTTTACTCCCTTTTTAAATTCTACTGAGATATTCTTGGATACTCATAGTGTTTTTTACTGATACATCTACATTATGTAAATTGCTGTCGAACATGGTTACAGTTCAAATGAGCGAAAACAGCCCCAAAACATAAGTCTTTATTTGTTCAAATTGTCTTCAATAAACAGTGGAAATCATAGTGAGATCTCATGTTTTTTATGCCATTGTGATTTGGTTTTTTCATTTTGCGTATTATGGAACAGAAATTAGAAACACAGTGTTTTTCCTTCCTGCAATACAAAGGAAATATAATGATACGACACTTGGTGAGATACATCCATTGAAAATGGGACCGGTGAAGGTATATCTCACGAAGTGACGTATCGTATTTTCTGCCGATTTTCTCAAAGGAATGATACAAAACTACCAAAAACAGCATGTGGAGTGAAAATGTACCACTCAAAGAAGTTTTGATCCAAACCGCATAGATTCCAGTCTTCCGGTTTCGACGCTAGAGCTAAAAGAAAAGTGCCGAAAACTTTAAACCTCTCTCCTGCAAAACACTAATTTTGCAGATACGACACTTCGTGAGATGACGGACGAATTCTAAATGCAACTGTTATCATGGTAACAGTCTGCTGCAAGCTACAGATCCCCTTGTTTATATTTGTTTGCTTCCCGGGAAGTTGAGATTGTTTCAGAATGCTATCAGGTCTGCTGGGGTAATGGTAATAATATAGATCGTAAAGCTCATAGAGCTTACTGCTGAGTGGGAATTTGTGCTTTACAAATGCTGTCTATTATTATTATTATTATATCATTCTTGTTTCAGACCCGCTGCACACGTACCTGGGGCTGTGCGGCCTGTCTTTGATTGGAGAGCCGGGCTTGAGTCCTGTCCATCCAGCCTTGAACATGACCCAGAGGGCTTTTGACCACCTGTGTAACCTTCACCGTCTGTGGCAGGAGAAGAAGGAGAGCAAGTCTATATGATGCCTGCTCCTGTTTAACTATTAGTGTATGTTATGTCCGTAGGCCACAGCCTGCTCCTATCAGAATTGTACTATTTTTGAGAGGAGGATAAGACAGAGAGGGTTCTTTCTTTACTCCTGAGCCCCACAGATCCTGGTAAAAGTAAAGTATAATCTCCAATTGTCATGTCGACCTCAGTTCGCTGTTTCCTGTTTCTGTGAGGCATAAATAAACCCCAGTTATACCTGTAAGGTAGTAGGACTAACCCTTACCCAAACGTATGGACCATCTCTCCCCTCTGAAACATATTAAGGAAGTCAAGATCTGAAGACAGGGAAGTAGTACTTGGGTAATCCTCCGTGTCCACCGCATAGGCAAAGCTATATCATACGTACTGCTTTAAGATCGTCCGTCAAGACGTGAAAGGTCACAGAGGACATAGCTGCAACCCCACTGTGACACCCCCCTCGCAGTGACTAGGGATTTCGAAAAGGAGGGACTATACTTTACTTTGACCTCGATCATTTGTTTGTCATTGCGGTGAAATCAGGCGCACATCAAAACATTGAAAGCGAAGAAACTGTTGGGCTATTTTTATCTATATTTTTTAAAACTCAAAGCCTTTTCTCCATGGATTTTGCTAAAAAACGTTTATCAAAGGCACAAATAATGTAAATTTGCTGTTTCTAAGGACGATCAAGCTTTGGAATTCACCAAACTTTGGTAATTTCACCTTTGACACCAGGAGACTCAACGTCTATTCAAGATAGATGTGTATTTTTTTTCCATCAAAAGTAAGGAAAATGAATAGGCTTGAAGATTGTTCAAATAACACCATATGCCTCAAAATTGACGAGTGCCTGATTCCACTGCACATATACTTCCTGTACACAGAACACAGGCCAGAGCATGTGATCGTGTATATGTGACTGTCATCTGTATATCGCGACCTCAGTGCTTTCTTGTCGTATCTCCATTTTTTAAAACTTTGAAAACAGTTCATAACAAAGAGTGAGCTTAAGAAATCACATTTTTAATGTTTAAAAAAATGAAGATTCGACAAGAAAGCACTGAGGTCACTATATGAGTTCAGGTGTATGGGTTGTGTAGGCTCAGGGGGGCCGGAATTTGAAGGGTGTTGAGAAATAAGAAGAGCTGCTTACCTTTTGGGTTAGTGTATGTTTTAATACAGTCGGTTGTAACTAACATTAAATTTTGACTCTCCGTTCTTAAAAGCATCTTTCACACATGATGTATGTCTCGGCGACCCAAATGGGGACCCATGAAGGGAAGAAACTCTGGATGTGTGTTGTAAGTCAAGTTAGTTCCAAGAGGATGAGGAGGTGGGGGAAGTAAATTTTACTTTAACCCACTTGTCTGTCTTATAGAGTTCTCCACTCCATCCTTTTGGGGCTGGGTGTAGATTTGGAGGTCCCTTCTCATTAATTGCAAATTGAGGTAAAAGAAAAGTACAGCTTTTTTCTTCTTGGTGTTGATTATGAGGTGGAGGATATGTGGATGTAGGGTGCTTGTGGAAGACCAGCAAATAGTATGATTTTGATACGAGTGTAGCCCGGCTGTAGCTTATTTTTTAAAACTAATTTATTGTACAGTTTGCTTTTGGAAGGAACAAAACATATATTTTCCTAACTAGTGGAGACGTTAATTCTAGTTAGCAGCAACATTGTATTAGTACAGGCTTTTTGAATCTAATGTTTTAGATTGTATTGATTGATTTTTAACAACTTAATGTATGTAAATTTCACCATCATTGCAAAGGGTTTTCTTCTCTCCTGATCTTAGAGTATGTGGGATCGAGCTCTCTGATAAATATGTACCTTTGAGAACATGTATATGTGGGAACTGAAGCCAATAAAGTCTCAAAAGATTTTGTATGTTACTGATATTTATGGCTTTTTTTTAGTCTTGTCAGAACCCAACAAATACTAAAGTACCCAAAATGTTAATTTGTCAAAATCAGAAATATGAAAACTTCTGCAGTACATGAAACTGATGTAAGAAAAGGATTGAAAATGTTCTTTCTAATAAAGATATGCTCCAAAAATTAGCTGAAATAGCATGTATTGTAAGCCTCGCAGTCATTTGTAAGTAATGCATTTACTGAAAAATCAAATGCCATCCCTTCCTAAGTTCATATTTTCAACTGACTCTTGAACATTCGTGATTGATATTATGATAGATGAACGTTGCTTTGGAAAATCGACAGTTTATTTTAGCTTTTTGTGCGTCTCCTAAATTCTTTTCTTCTCGTGTCCAGAAATTTCTTCCATCTGGCTTAACTGTCAAACTGTCTTCGAGACTAGTGCTTGCAAACGGGAGATATTACTGTCAAGTGGGTGATTAGGTAATTTTGGTGGACGATTGAGTTCACATGGGTGATGGCAGGAATTATTTAATGCCCTGCTGGGAAATGCGTGTTGGGGGGGGGCGATACAAAATTTGTTTTGCATGGCAGAAATTCTATAGTGCCTGCAACTGCTGGAGGTCAAATGAGTACACTGTGAAAATTTATGATAAATAAAAATGCAGATAATTTTTATGGCGTCCTCTCGCGTGTGCAAACAGCTCTAGGTGCTTTACATAAATCCAAGTAGCCTACAAACAATAGTCATGAATAAATTGTATATTAACACGCACAGAAGAAATGACTCACACACACACACACACACACACACACACACACACACACACACACACACACACACACACACACACACACCAAGGCGAACCAGCAGTGGAGTTCATCCAGTTCTTGACATCCGCAATACACGGTCCCATGGTGGCAAAAAACTTTTTATGGCCCTCTTATGACCTTATGCAGTTGCGAGCGCCGTAAAACCTCTACTAAAACAAAACGGAGAACGTTTTAACTTGTGATGGTGGAACAGATAAAGGTAGCACAAAGTGGGCTCTGGCTATGGATCGGTGGACTAGCACTGGTCCAGACAGAGTTAATGTAACGTCTTTTCAGTGGTGAGTTGAACCTGCTGCTGGACTGAGGGAGATATTCGCTTCTATTGTTTGAAGTAAATGAAAAAGGGCTGTTTATGTACTTCAAGTGGGAAGAAAATGTTGATTTTTCTATTGCTCAGGGTATGAGACATGTTTCTGGTTTGCTTTGTGAGTGTGGAATGCTTTTTTTTTAAATTTGTGCATATTGTTTTTTTCAAAGTTTCTTCTCCTGGGCAAGGTGAACTGTTTTAAGCCCAGAAAACACATTTTTCAAACTAGAGAAGAAATTGTTTCATTATTTTAAAAAGTATACAAACTACTTTCTGATCCAGCGGCCATCTGGGTTGTAACCCTTCGGCCTAAAGTATACGAACAATATGCATTTTTTAAAAAGCGTCTGACGCAACTGGTACCCCAAATTAAGAAACTGCAATTTTTTTTTTAAGATAGAAAAATTTAAGGCTCAGTGCATTTGAATAGCGGACCGCTGTTATGCAGGTCAGTTAGATGAACAGTGAGTTTGGTTTTTGTCTTTTCATGTATTTTTGTTCACCACGCAGTAGCCCTTTGTTCCCTGCGGCGAAGTGATTTTTGAAGGGCAGAGAGTTACTGTTTTAACTAATTATAGTCCTTTTTTATTTCATTCGTCGACGTTGCTGTACATATTGGCTTGGCTGAATGTTTAAAATGCTGAGACTGTAAGACAATGCTGGTTGCTGCTGTGGTGCTGTTGATCAATGAACTTTGGCCAAACCTCAGAAGTTGAGGAGTTCTAATTCAATCCAGTCATAATTCTTTTCATCCTTCTTGAAATCATTTTCCTGTCAATGGAATGACATGAAGGCTTAGCTTTTAGAAAAGGCCATAGTTTTATATTGGAGACCGTCTCACTCCAGTGAAGAGAAAATGAGATGGGAACGAGTGAAGGGAAAGTGGGTAGGTGTGTGGAAAAATATCGGTGTTTTCTAGTTTGTGGCAAGTATTTAACTCCTGGCTTTACTCAGTTTAAATTTTTTTTCAATTTTGATTATTCTGTCGTGCCCGAGAGCTTTGCCTTGAGCCATGTAGGCTACATTCTGTTGACAATGTGAACAAGTTTGATAGAGTATTTCCTCATGTTGGAATTGAACTCATATCCTTTGCATTCAGGATGAAGAGCATAGGCATTATGCTATGGATTCTGATGTAGTTGTGAGTAATAGTAAGGGTGATTCTCAAGCTTATGTTTGGTTTTCATTGAGGTTCCCCACTAGGAAAAGTCTTATGACCAAAACCATTTTTGAATTTAAATGTGAGGCATTGTGGTGAGATAAGGTTCTCGTCAAAATAATGAAATTTTAGCAATGGACATTTTCCTGCCTGTTGGGTAATTTTTATATCTTCTTTTGTTTTTAAGTAAGCATTGAATGTTTTGGTGTGGATTTTACTGAAAAATAATCATAGGTACAGAAAATGTAATGTTCCAGTTTGTAAAAACGTTCAAGCTTTGGAAGTCACCAAACTGTGGTGGCAATTTTCTCGCTAATTTTACCTCTGACATCAGGCGACCTCTAGATAGGTAAAAACTATCCCAATAACTCCATATGCCCCAAAATTGACGAGCGCCTGATCTCACTGAGTCATGGCTCAAATTTCCATTTTTTTTTTTTCATTGTGGCTGTGAATTATTTTTTATTATGTCTGGATTTTTTTTCATCTTGTGTTTGTGTAAAGTGAAAAATTGTTGATTAATTAAATAGACCTGACCTTGTGGTTTTTGCAGCTAGTTTTTTTAACCGTTACTATCGCACTGAATATATCGTCGCCATATACAAAATCTGCCATTAATAGATCAAAATTCATTATAACAGTAGTCGCTATTTTCCCCCCCGCATCTTTTTTCTTTTTTTTTGTCCTCGGATGTTGTGTCTAAACACAGCGTTTACTGTTGACGGATTCCAGCTTTAGCAAGTTTGTCTGATGTCATAGAAAATTTGTTTCTGTAGCCAGGTTCAGATACTGAGGGTTACCTGCATTTATTTATTTATTTTATTAATTATAATAGTTGGGTTTTTTTTTGCGAACAGTATTGTCTCAGTAGTGTCTTTGTTGCTTATATTTTGAACTAAGGATCTATAAAGGCGTGGCAATTTTTCTAGTCCACTTCATGTACTTTTTACAGCTCACCACGCACCTAATGTATAGTCTTTTTGTCATTTTTCTCAGAACCATTGTGTAACTTTTGTATTTTCTTTACAATTATGTGTATGTAATTTTCTTTGTGCATCTTTTTTCCTCCTTTGCACTGTAGTAAAAGCACGTAAAATGTGTTGGTTTTTAAGCGGTCAAATTCTTTTTTGATGATTCTCTCTTCTTTCATGAAGTGCTGACTACTTCTTGTCCAGGAATGATAAGTATGTGGCTGCTATGTCAACTTTTAAATCTGGACTTGCGTGATTATTGCTGGGTGCTTTGTCAGATTAATACCCTCCAAGTTGTTGAATATTATTCTGAATTGTTAGGTTAGTATATTTGTTGCAGTTTCATTTGTTTTTTGTAACATATTTCTTTCGATTGGGGATTAGACGTGTGTACCCAATGTCCAAGGGTACTACTGACATATCATGGTTAGCTAGTGTGACTGTAAAGTGTCATTTTTTCTTCTATCTTTACGATTGTCATCTAAAATGATAAGTTTAATTCCGGTTTTGCAGGGTTGGACATCATTACCTTTAGAAAAGTACTGTAAAATTTGATCTTTTTTCCGAATTTTAATTAAGTACCCGTCATTTGATAGAGGCTGAACATGCCAACGATAGCAATGTGTGTCTCACAGGCAGTGAGGTTTTTTGTCTCCCTCAAGTCTGAGAAAGTGAAAGTAGACTTTAAGTAGCCTGCGAAGAGAATTATTTTAAAGTCATGTTTGTCCTCAAGTGAATGGCTCCCAGGATTGTACATAAATAGCTTAATTAAAAAAAAGATAACATTTTGTGTGAATGACAGGAGGGTATGTATAGGAAAAAAAGTATGAGTAATGTATCTTTTAACAAGTTACATCTG